AGCAGAAATGTTGGCTACTTCTGCCTAACAATACTAACTTTACCTTCTGCAGTAGAACAAATGCCGTTTTTAAATTCAAGTATTTGAACACAGTTATCAGCTGATTCTCAGTCTCTTCAATAGAGCCCAGTAACTGACATAGAGTATGCATTACATAAATATTTCTTGAATGAATGAATGCATGAATGAATGAATGAACGAATGGAGAAAAGTTTAGTTGGAACTATAAAGTGCAATGTAGATTCAATAGAATATTTTATTTTGTAATTTTTTAAAAAATATTTATTTATCTGACAGATCACAAGTAGGCAGAGAGGCAGGCAGAGAGAGAGGGGGAAGCAGGCTCCCTGCTGAGCAGAGAGCCCAATGCCAGCTCGATCCCAGGACCCTGAGACCATGACCTGAGCCCAAGGCAGAGGCTTAACCCACTGAGCCACCCAGGTGCCCCCAATAGAACATTTTAAAATCTATTGTTTTTCATTTCTTTTTACATTCTTTTTCTTCCTAATGGGATATAGTTCCAATCAATTTAACAGTGCCTGTGTGTGTGTGTGTGTGTGTGTGTGTGTGTGTGTGTGTGTACTTGGAGAATTAGAGGAGTATTAGAGTTCCAACACCTGTCTCAGAGTGTGACTCATTCCATGAGCCATAAGAGTCTTTGCCTATCACTTTCATCATTAATTTATATTTCTTTAATAAACGTATAGTACGTGCCAAATCTATTCAAAGCATTATGCCAGGCACTAGGAATGAAGAAAGGAATAAAGATCTATTCCTTGCTGTCAAATGGGAGAGCAGACATACACAGATAACTAAAAATGTCCAAAATTAGAAAATAGCCCAATCTAGTCTTTCCAGGGAAAACTCATCTATAATAACAGGGTAGTATTACTACACATTTATCTTTTAAAACATCAGGTGAAAAAAGCGCAGGCTTCTGTTTATATTGAACTATTTAAATCTAATCAAAATCCAACAATCCTATGCTGGCTTGCATCAAGTTTTCCTTCAGTTATTCATGTTCTCTGAGCTCAGGCACTACGAGCATATAAGTATCTATTAGCTAAGTGGCAGAAACAGGTTATATCATCTGTCGCACAGGGAACCACTCCTACTCTATGCATGCCAGCACAGTTACATGAGGGGCAGAGGGCACACAGAGGGGTAAAGCTTGGAAATTAATCTGACACGTTCTCACCTGCTGGGAAACCTGGCCAGTGTTCTTCCCAAGAGAAAGTACGTTTCTGAAAAGCAATCATCAGTCCATAATGCGATGACTCCTTTTTCCTCTACTCATTACGTTGAGTGTGTGTTGAGGTCCTACCATGAGGTAGGAGGAGTTCCTTCCTGAGGTTGGGAGTGTGAGCAAGATACCCTCTGTCAAGACTGGAGTCAGAAATCCTTCCAATAGCAAATCTGCTCAAGTCACAGACATGCATAAAAGGACTTCATACTGGCCTTTGGATGAAGACCAAGGTCCACGACAGCTGAAAGGCTCTGTAGGACCTGATCATTCCAGCTCTCCAGTCTCTCCTGTAATCTCCCAACCTCTGCCACCCTTGTGTTCTGAAATTCCTTGACCATGCTGTGCCTCTCTCTGGCCTTCCACATGCTGTTCCCTCGGGCACACGCCATCAGGACGCCTCCTACTCAGCCCTTTCCTCCCTTCCGCTCACTAAGCACACACTCTTCAAGCTGTAACGTAAATACCTCATTTCCCCTGACTTGAAGAGCATCTGCAACAACACGGTCCATGGTCTTGTTGCCCTCTGTGGCTGCAGCCAGCTCACCCTCCAGTGTCTGCTTAACCAGCGTCAGGCATGCCTGGACGTGATCAAGTTCATTTCTTTCTTTCTTTCTTTTTTTTTTTAAGATTTTATTTATTTATTTGACAGACAAAGATCACAAGTAGGCAGAGAGGCAGGCAAAGAGAGAGAGGAGGAAGCAGGCTCCCTGCTGAGCAGAGAGCCCGATGCGGGGCTCCATCCCAGGACCCTGAGACCATGACCTGAGCCGAAAGCAGAGGCTTTAACCCACTGAGCCACCCAGGCGCCCCCAAGTTCATTTCTTATTGCATGTCCCCAGGGCCTCGCTCACAGATGGGGACTTAGTGGGCACACGTGTGTAAACACACATATGCATACATACATGCATATTTATATATATGTGTGTGTCTAGTGGAATGTCTATATCTCTACATCTATATCTATCTATCTATCTAGTAGAAACCTTTTATCTTATTCAGAGCTGTAGTCAGATAAATGAAGAAGTTAGTTATAGGAGGAATTATAAAGACCGGGCACGTACCTTAATATTTCAGTTTAATACAACACACATAGGTGTACATTTATTCACCAATCTTTTGATATAGTGAAAAGTCTTTTTCTTTGTAAATGAGGCTCTGGTTTGGAGTTTTGTGTTGTTTTTCTCGCAAACTGTAATCACAATGCATTGGACTATGATTTGCATTTTGAAAGACACTTCGCTCAAAGACACACTGCCAATCTACCTGAGTTGCAGAAACTTTTACATTATTTACACCCCACTCCTGACTTTTCTGGTTGTCTTGATTACCCTTAATTTGATAGCAATTTATTTTTAGGGAATTGCTCTCATTAAGTCTTTCATGAAAATAACATAGTTTTCATAGGGTAACTTTCTTTTTACAGTATATTTGTCAGTGTTTGCAGTATTAATTAAGTGATGTGATTATGATAAATATAGCTAGCATAAACGGGGTTAGGGACAAACTCAGTTGACTTTTGGCAAATTTATATTCCTAGCTAACGGGAGCAGAAGTGCTGGGAGTATCTTTAAACCACTTTAAGCGAGTGTGATCGAGTCAGACTTGCTGTTGGAAAGATAATGACTCCAGTCTTGAGAGAGTCTATCTTGGTCACACTCCCAACCTCAGGAAGGAATTCATCCTACATCATAGACTTCTGGAAAGCAATCGTCAGTCCATACTGATGACTCCTTTTCTTGTTTACTCATTACACCAAGCCTGTGCTGAGCTCCTACCCTGAGGTGGGATGACTCATTGCATTGTGGATTAATGATTGCTCTTCGGAAACGTACCTTCACTTGGGAGGAACAAATGCGGGGTTTCAGGGCAGGTAAGAATGTATCGGGTTAATTTCCAAGTTCCACCCCGTCCGTGTTGTGTGAAGACAGTAGGAAAGGCTGATACAACCTATTTTTTTTGCCACTTAGCTAAGACCTAGCTAAGAAGCTTATGGTGGCCGAGGTTGGAGAATTTGATAACTGAAGGAAAACGTGATGCCAGCCAGGATTGCTTAGCTGGATCGGTTAGTGGGTTAAATAGCTCCCAGCTGCCGAGCTTGTTCGGGGCACCCGGGCCATCAGTTAGAATGTTTTGCTCAGTAAATGGAGAGTGTTAGCAAATCTGGTTGAGTCAGGAGTGCCATTCAAGTAGAAGTCAGTTAAGGAGCCTTCTCTCATTGTCACGTAAATATTCCTTAGGCACTAAAAACCTAGAGAGATGAAGCACAGATTAAAATAGGGTATAGAGTGTGCTGGCAGAGGGATGTGGAGAGTGCAAAGGGAGTGGAATTGTGTATTTAGGGGAGGACCAGGTCCGGAAAACCTTGGTTTTGGTGCCAGCTACTGTGGAAATTCGTGAATGAGACCTCAGTTTGTTTCTTTGGTGATCCTGTTCCTGATTCCAAGACATAAAATATTGTATTTTTTATAAAAATCAGAATTTTTTTTCTTGTTTTATAGAGTCCTTCCCAAACTAATTAGAATAAAGGAGGCTTTGCTTGGGTTTGTAGGCAATGTGAAGATCAGAAAGCTATTATTAGCAATTCGAACTGCAACAGAAAATATTTCCTGTAAGCCATGTTGGAATCTTTTCCAAAGGTATTCCCCCCAAGATTTTCGCTAGCTGCCTCCCTCCCACAGGTATCACACGCGTATCCTTGAGGAAGATATCACCCAATATACATTCGATTAAAATAGATAATGTGAAGTGTTCCCAAATTGCTTCTTCATAAAAATTACTTCCAGGCCTGGGTGTAAGACTTATGAATAAAGGTGCATTGTGTGAGAATGCTGTAAGAACACAAAATATGATGAGAATTGTAATATTGTAAAAATATTACAAGAGAATAAAACATTTCTGCTGTTGTGGTCTGTGCATTTCTTCCTGGAGACAGGCATCCAAGGGGTTGTGAGATTCGAGTAACTAGTTTTTTGGTTTTTGTTTTTGATAAAGAATTTATATCTACATTTCAGATAGTTATCACAGCCTACATTCACATATTTCTCTATCCTTAGAAAATTATATCGTCCTATAGGATAAGTAGATAATCCTTTCTTGGATTGCCCTAAAATTACTTTAAAAAGGAGAAAAAATAATTCAGGGTGCATATTACAGATAGTTTGCTGCTGAATGCAACTGTGGAGAGCTGAAGCAGAGGAATAAAAATTCACATTAAATAGACCCAGGACATTTCAGAAAATGTAATCCCTAAAAATGAATTTTTGAACAAATGGGAAATGATGAGAAAAAAAAAATGTAGTCCAAACCATGTCCTGTATTTGGAATAATTCCCTCAGGAAAATTCATATTCAAATTCTGGGACTCAGATTCCATTTTCTAAATGTGATAGACTTTCATTCATTCATTTGGTCTCAATTTCTAATTGATCATAGATTACAAGAGTGCAGAAATGGAAACTGACATTTAAAAATCCTGAGATTTTAGTGTATAATTCTTGTTAATAGGATTTGAGTTCATGCCTAATTGCATTTATGATCAATGTTCAAGTAGAGGTTGTTTTTGCATAAAAAAATTTTTTATGCCTAATTAAGCTTTACCAGGGGAAGAACATACCAGGAATTTAAACTTTGCTACCATTTGTTTTTAAGGTAGCTTTTATCTGATCTAATTAAAAGTCAACTCTGTCATTCTGAAACCTTAAAGATAAATGTGCTATTTAATTTATCCTGTTTTTTTTTTTCTCCTTTTATGGCAGATTAAATACAAAGAAAAATTTGATAATGAAATGAAGGATAAGAAACATCATTACAATCCTCTGGAAAATGCTTCTTTTAGGCAAAGTCAACTTGCCACCACACTGGTGAGCGATGTAAGTTACTTTGTGATTTGGAAATTATGATTCATAGAAAATTATTTTCAATATCTTTTGACTCTTGCATTTTCAGAACCCAAGTGTATTGGAGTTACTTATACTTAAGATCATGTAGTTTCCAAGTAATTTTAGTTGAAAACACTGAAGCATATTTTCCTGAAGCTTTTTTGAGAAAAATGTATTATTGTAAGTTACTATTAATGGTTACTGATTGCTATTTAGTTAATAAGTAGGAATAGTATTGCTAATAAAAACTATTATATGGGATCAAGCGTAGAAATAGATTACAGAGTTTGGCAAAAAAAAAAAAAAAGTAGTGTGTAGTATCTTAAATTAGTGGTTGTGAAAATAGTTAACTCATGTAATTATGCCCAGGAAATTGGGCTTCTGTAAAGTACAACCTAGTGTACGGTAGTTTATAATAAAGAGATATTTAGAAATTGCCCTTTGTAAGGGCTTATGGGTTCTTTCCCATCCCTTATGTAAATGCTCGGAAATACTTCTTCACAGATTTGATTTCATTCTGTTTTTTTAAAAATAATTAAGTTTCAGTTTACAAGAAAAGATGCCTTAAATTTTTTATTAGAATTAGGCAGAGTGTGAAAATGGAAACGGGGACAATAGACCCTTTTGCTATAGTTGAAGGACATATGGAGTCCCTTTACACATATTAAGATGAAGAATTGTTGAACTGTTGCTTTGTTAGATCACTAAACCTTTCAAACTCCTGCCAGGTCGTTGGGACTCAGCATCTCTTACTTTCACTAATGTTTAGTATGTGTTATTTGTGTGCCTTAACTCACTTGTGTTTGTTACCAGCAATTAAAATGGGTCTTTTGGGATCACTGGGAATATCAGAACGCTTCCTTTTCTTTTGTTTTTATCCTGTGTGTGTGTAAAAGTGTAAAGCAAATAGAGTTGGAATACACTTAAAGGAACCCAGAGCATGGAGCCTGGAAGCAGGAGGTTTAGAATCAGACAGCTAGGATTTGAATCCTGTTCTACCTCCTCTAATACTATCCCTTCATCTTTCTGTGCCTCAGTTTACTTTTCTGTAAAATGGAGATGCTTAAAATACCTCTCCACTAGGGTTGCTGTGGAGGTTAAATACGTACTACATGTAAAGTGGTTAGAAAAGTGTTGGCACACAATAAGTGGTCAAATATTTTGTATTAATATTTTAATATTATGAGTACTAATATTATTATATTTTCAAAACAGCTGGTTAAAAAAAAAAAAAAAGTTGGCAATAGGATGAAAAACACTGAAAGCTCTGAAATTGCTCCAAAATGTAATTAAAATACGGTAGTAATTTCTAAAGAATAGTAGCTGGTATTTTTGTTTCGAAGACAGAGTGCCTATTAAAATTACTTGATTCTGTGAACATCACTCTTTTAAAATATGTAAACAATGAAAGCAATTATCAAAATATGTGCAAGTCCCCGGAAGTTAACTTTTTTACTCATTCAGTAGTAAACGAGCACCACCTAGTGGCCACGTGTATATTTGCCTGTTAATTTCCCACTGCCTGGTACTTCATAATGTATTAAAAATTAATGATGGCCATAAGGCAAAAGCACATTTTTCTTCTCTTAGATGGTATTTTGTTCCATGTTATTTTCATAGGTGAAGTACAAGAAAGACATTCAAAGTATGCACGAGCCAGTCTCAGATCTCCCAAACCTGTTTCTAGAGCATGCTTTGAAAACCAGCAAAATGCTCAGCGGAGTAAGTCTGTTTGATGGCAACTCAAAGTGCCCTGTGTCTCCACAGAGCCAGGCTGCCTGCAGATGCCTCATGAGCACACCTGCTTCCTCCCAGAGCTCCATGCCTCCCTGAATAACTAACTTATTGGGAAAGTAGTGGCTTGCTTTCTTAAACCCCACCAAAGCTGCGCTCTATGAAGGGGTTTCTTGCTGGCTCTTTAATATCTCTTCAATGCAAACTCTCTCGTTGAAACAACTATGCTTCAAAGCCCATGGACAAGTGTTCTTTCTGTCTTTCTTCTTCCCAGTTAGATGGAAGCCACTTGGCAGTCAGGCTTAAATCAAGGATCTCTTCTTTTATGCACTCTGCTCTTTTCTGGAGCAGAGTGTCTGGGATTAGGTCCCAGTAACACACAAAATTGTCTAATTTGTATTTTCCCTGAAAATAAATCCTACATCACATGACACTCTACTTTGAGTCTTGTGAGGGTTTCCACAGTTTCTTCAGAGCGATTAGGGGGAGCGAGTGGTTTTTTCATGTCCTAAAGAAAATGTTTGTGTACGCTGCCAAGTGATCATTCCATCAGAACTCACCTCCAGGATGCTGTTTCAAACATTCAATGTGTGTGGATCCTGACTTCATGGGTTCTCAAAAGTGATGACCCCGGCTCACCTGTGCCCCACTGCTGACATCTCAGAATGGCTCATGGTGACGATGAACTATAATTTGACCTCACGTTTTTTCTGCATCTGTTTTCATAATGACTCACTCACATGCTCACCCACTTGCTCAGAATTATCCAGATGTGTTGAATATCTGCTTTGGGCCAGGTACGATCAGATGGAAAATTCTGTTGGGCAAGGAATGTGAAAATAATTATCTTCAGGAGATATGCTCACAGTCCTGGATTAAAAAAAAAAAAATCTGTAGTCCAGACCTGGTTCCTGAACTGTTGAATAATGAGATACAGCTTCAATTCAGGTTTAAAAATGTCTGCCTTTGGCTTTGATGTGTTGAAACTTCTGTTCATTATTTGATAATCTTCCTTTCTCAACTGATGTCATCCTTCTTGAAGTGGATTACGTGTGTAAATAATTCATATTCGCAGAGATTTTAAAATTAATTAACTGACTTTTATCATTGGTCTTGGGAGGAAAAGCATTCTGTCATTCTCCCTGTCTGTTGGGTGGGCTAGGAGACATAGAGGATTATCAGGCACAGAATTAGACTCTGGTCCAGCACACTTTGTTCGTACTTCTTGCCATTGCAAGCCTCCTCTCCCCACCTCTGCACACATTCCTCCACTCCTCAAGTGGTCCTTTCAGATTCACGTTTTCCTCTAGGACCCATAGGGATGTTTCTAAAAGTTGGTACATTTCTATTCTCAGAGCCTGTTTTCTTCATGTTTAGTCTCTGCCATCCCATTTTGATCATTGAGTGGCATCTGCCCTTGACTCTTCTCCATCCGTGCTTGAGTTAAATTTCCTGAGGACATGAGGATTTGTGCACAAATAAGACAAGAAAAATATCGTGGTGGTCACTTAAAAATTTGGTAGTTGGAAGAATACATGCACTCCTAGGCAATATTTTCTTCAAGAATACTGACCTTTCTTTTATAATAATGGTGAAAAATCATGACTTAATACAAATTGTTTCTATCACAGATAGCAGAGAAACTCAGCAAAGACATATATTACATTTATTGTATATACCATTTTAAAAGTTTAAGTCTTGGTTCAGATGGTGCTTTTGTCTTGGTTATAGATATTTTTCCTTCACAGAAAAATTGTGACTGAATAATTACTTCACGGAAGAGAAAGTTTAAGACTCAAATATGTTACCCTGAGGTATCTATTTATTAAAGTTGTATGATAATACATTGGCTGAAATTTATTGTACATTAGAATTGCCCTCTTTTAAATTTTAATGTAGAGAGAATTGGAATTTTGCTGATTTATAAAGGCAACTTAATTTTAGCCAAAGATTGAATAAGAAAGTGCTTAATAAACAGACATTCTGCCAAAATTAGTTGTCAGTTGGTTATAAATGACTGTTTTTTAAAGACCTCTAGATGTCTTTGGTATAAATCACCATTTTTTTAAACACATAGTATAAGAGTAAAATTCATCCTTATGAGTTTGAACAGCTGTACTAATTAAAGTTTTGAAGGACCATTTTGCCCTGGAAAATAGAGCTTTCGATTTCTTTCATAACTTTGCATTAACGTGAAATATGTATTGCATGTTACTCTGTGTCATCCCCACTAGGAGGCAACAGAGACTATTACATAAGGAAACGCAAGTCTTGAAAATTCTTTTGCAGATCTTCCTTCAAACAGGTTCTGTTTTTTTGTTTTTTAAAGAGCAGTTTCTGAAATTCTCTGCCACTAAAATAGATCACTGGGGACAGTATTTATTGAACTTTCCTTAGTCTATTCCATTATTGCAGGCATAATATCCTGGGCTTTACTGGTTCTGATTTTAACTTGTTGTGAGTATATTCTAGAGTGTTATGTTTGATTCATAATTATTTTATTTACATATTATAAACTAATTTTTAAGTAAATTATAAAGTCCCTAAGTATACTGTTATTCTTTGAGGTTATTTAATTAGCAGAGGAGCCGAAATTTAGAATCTGTTCTCTTCTTGACAGATGTACTATGGGAACATTTTCATGAGCTTCCTGGGGTGTTTTACTCCCTCACTTTATTCTGGTTAGAGTTTTGGGAGACACACATCTTAGTACTCTAATATCCCAGAAGTGCCTCTGGGGACTGTCTCTGTGTCCCCATGGAACGGTGGTTCTCATATGCATCCTTCCAGCCTCCCCATCCCTGGCTCTGGGCCTCTTCCTGGTGCACTCTCAGATCCCTGGAGCATCTGCTAAGACGCAAAGGTCAGCTCTGTTCCGGCCATCTCTTTCCTGCTCCCTTTCAAATGCAGCATACCTCTCCCTACATCCTACAACATTGCCATTTTCCCTGAAATCCTCACTGCTGAATGAGCAACCAGCTTTGGCTAAAGTCTTGAGTCTTTGAGAGTTACTATTTACCTCTAGAAGTGAAAACGCAGTGTCCAGTCTCAGAGAGAGAAATTACAAAGCAATTTTTGTTTCATCATGGCCTGTTGTATTTGGTGTCCTTGGTTGCCAGTTTTAGCATCTCTTCCAAATTCACCACTTTGTCTGTGTCTCTAAATCGTAGTCTTAATCCAATTTCTTCACCTTAAAAATTCAATGGACTATACCCAGACCCCTCTGTTTCTCTTCCAGGTATCTCCTACCCTCTCTTTTTAGGAAAATTAGTTGAATTATTTCTCACTCCCTTATTTTCCTTATGACCCCTCAGTCTTCCTTAAGGCTGAGCCCTCGTGCACAACTTCTTTCCTCTACTCCGTTCTTTCTTCTTTTTCCCCTTCACTTCTTGTAGATGCTATCAAACACATTTCTGTTCTAGGATAAGCTCTGAACAAATCGCCTTTGCCCACCTCGCTTGGTCACATGAGTCCCGTTGCTGGTTCTTCTGTTGCCACTCCCCAGCATCTTTTTCATTGTGCTGACAGCTAATCGTGCCCTGCTTCTCTAGGGTGTCCCACATGGACCACCTCAAGCTGCTGGTCTATGGTGCCTTGCTTCCCTTTCCGCTTCCCTCAGTGTCCGAAATATACAAGGTCAGCAATGCGTCTTGTTAGCTTTGCAGCTTGTATTTTTCAGTTTGCGCTCCTCAGTATTGACTGTTCTAATGGGTCTCTTTTATTTTGAATTTATGTTCATGTTCTCTATTTTAGCACGAGTATAGAAAGCTTTTTGAGGAAAACAAAGGAATGTATCATTTTGATGCAGATGCTGCTGAACACCTGCACCATAAAGGCAATGCCACGCTCCAGAGCCAGGTGTGTGCCCCCCCCACCCCGTCTGGACCCTTCACCCACTCACTGCCACTCACCTCCCCCAAGAAGGGGGAGCAGAGCATACCTCCTGAGGAAGTGAGCATCGCTTCGGAAAATCTCAGACGCTGCTCTCTTTCTGTGGCTGGAGTGGGAGAGCAGGAACCATGTTTCCGTGTAAAAGCATTTCATAAAATAAGTTACTTCACACAATTTTAAACTTACAGTATATCAGTTAATTAAACCATGATCAAATCTCATGATAATTTCAGTTTTCATAGTGTACTAATTTGTCATCGTGAGCTTCAAAATTAATTTTCCAGGTGCCAAGTTTATTAGAATTTCTCAGATCAGTTAGAAGTGTTATTAAAAATTATCTTACATTAATGTTTCTTTCAAGTATAAAATTCTGTGTATTCCCTGAAAGAAATTAAAAAAAAAAAACCTTCCCTGTGAACTTTTTAAGGGTGTTATCTATACATTTTTTTATTTTGAGTTTCAGTAGTTGCAAAAGATGTCATTCCAGCATCTACTAAAATATAATTTTACATCACTCCATTAAATGTATCCTGTGGAACATAAACTCCTTAATGATTTGATACCCATCCTCATTTACAAAATAAACAATTGCCTCTCCTTTAAGGTTTGGAAACCTACATTTCTTTTCTTTTTGTATTCTTACTTTTATTTAATTTTTCCCACAAAGTTTTATCCTCACGTATGTTATTACATATCCTACTATGTTACTACACTTCAAACACTTTCATTGATCACTCTATCATACTTCTCTAAAACTAAAATAGGCCTACAAATAGGAATTTAAAAACCTGTTACATTTTCTGCTACCACAAAGTTCTAAGTATTGAACAACTACTTTTGGATTTAATCATCATTAAAAGTGCTATTATTATATAAGTTAAACAATTTCAAAAAATTATTTACACATAAGAATTTTATTTTATTATTTTTAAAAAAAGATTTATATTTATTTGACAGAGAGATAGCACAAGTAGGCAGAGTAGCAGGCAGAGAGAAGGGGGAAGCAGGCTTTCCACTGAGCAGGGAGCCTGATGTGGGAGCTCGGTCCCAGGACCCTGGGATCATGACCTGAGTTGAAGGCAGCCATTTAAACTGCCTGAGCCACCCAGGTGCCCCACAAATAAGAATTGTAATGAAGATGCATTTCTGAATGAAATGAATCATGATCAAAACTTTTTTGTGAATGTAATTCTAAAAGGTATGTATTGCTAAGAAAAAGCTGATCACTCTGACACCTTACATATAATTCTAGTTTCTGTTATCAGGAATTAGAAAATATAGATCCTTTTATAAACTAAAATAAGAAAGAGGTTGGTTGTCACTGAAATAAATAATTCATGATATGATATTATTAAATAATGCAGGGCAAAACTGAAAGCAATTACACAAAATCTCTCTGTGTGGGTGTTACTCAATGTATGTGGAAGAAGTCAACAGTCCCAGAGAACACTGTCTTCCCTTTGAAAGAAAGAGAACCACACCTGTGTTTTCCTCCTTGTTCATGATTTTCTGATAGATATTCGAAGCCATCACAGGGATCTGTCTCTATGTATATATGTGTGTACCATTAGTGTATACATATTAACCCCATATAGATGAGTATATCTATATATCTGAGCTATTTAAATAATTCATCCAAGTCCTAGAACTTCATTTAGTAGTTCTAAATTATTTTTAGTCCACAAATATTTCTGTATATTACATGTTTGCTTCTTTTGTATGTCATTTACCACAGGGAACCCAGGGACCAACCCCAATGGCCAGAATAATACAATGTTAGAAACTAGGTTGATTAATTTTGGATGTATTTATTTTATTTTGCTCTATTGGTACAAGGGCTTGTGAGCTTTATGTGCTTTTTATACCTTTTTTCAATGAAGGTTAAATACAAAGAAGAGTATGAGAAAAATAAGGGGAAATCAATGCTTGAATTTGTTGAGACACCCTCATATCAAGCTTCAAAGGAGGCTCAGAAGATGCGGAGTGAGGTGAGTCCCTTTGATTTGTTATGAACTTTTTTTTTTAAGTTTATTTATTTTTAAGTAATTTTGTGTCCAACATGGGGCTCAAACTCAGGACCTTGAGATCAAGAGTCACATGCTCTCCCAACTGAGCCAGCCAGCTGCCCCTGTTATAACTATCTGATGCATATTTGGTGTTTTAGCATTTGAAAGGAAATAGCAAAGTGATTCAGAATGCTGAATGGGTCTAGAGGAAAGCACACTGCCCAGGAAGGCTAGGGAATCCCCGTTCTAGATCTGGCTTCTTGTCTGGGTCTTTGAGATTCTGTGACCCTAAGTTTTTCTCATTTGGCAAATACAGTATCAGGCCAGGTGAGCTCTTAACTGCCCTTTCACATTCTATGATTACAAAGTTGGCACTTTCAGGTTGTGTCCATGTAAAATTATGATGAGCAGAAAGAAAATGAAGAGCCAAGCTTTATTTACCTTTTATTTTTCAGTGACAATAGAACTAACATGTATTCAATGCTTACTCTGTGCTAAGCAGTTTTCTAAAAGATTTATGCATGTCTCATTTAATCCCCTCAGGGTAGTGATGCTAGGTGGGCATATCTCTCAATTGATAATCATCCACTGAAATTAACTGTCTTATCTGAAATCACATATCCAGTAAATGCCAATGATTTAGGACCTGGTCAAATCATGAGTGATTCTCTTTTTTTCTGTTCCCTTACGTGGTTGATTCTCCTCACATTCCTCCCATCCCCCAAACAGTGACAATGGAAGTTTTAAAATATCAAGAGAAGAGAGCAGTTAAGAATTTTTTGTACATATGTATTCCATATTCTACTTAAAATGATGCTGAATCATATCCAGATATTGCCCAAATGGTTTCGCTCCATCCTACTGAGATTTCTTCTGTTCTTTCCTTCCATACATTTTTTGGGACCAGACACCAGACAGAGAAGGTTTTCTCTGCCAAAATCCAGATTCTGTGGGTACACCAACTTATTACCTCAAAGAGATAGAAATAGTGAAGAGCAGATCAGCCGATTACGGCCCCACGCCAGGTGTGCTCTGTGGGCACAATCTTGTCTATTCTCCAATAACAATACCAAAACAGGGAGAAATGAGAACTTCCGGACAATGAAACTCTCATAGGAATTTTGAAAACAACATATGTGCTATTTGTTGTTATTTATGCTGCTGTGTGTTATAATTCCTCTTTCCAGGGAAAGGGCAGTCAGACATTACGGGGGCTTGTTGAATTGTCCAAGTTGTTTAATTGTGTCTTCAGGCAAGAAAAGAGAAAATTGCTTGTTTTGTCATATCTCATAGCTTCTTAAGCTATTGAGAGAAGTTTGACCGAGAAATAAGCGAATATTTTGATGAAATTAGCTGTTTGTTTTAACTGAATTGGCAGAGAGGTAAATTTGGTCAGAATTCAGAAGCCTGACAACAACTTACATTTAATGGGATAACTTTTATGGGACTATCATTGTCTTAGTTTTGGCCGCTATTAACCAAGTGCCACAGACTGGGGGGCTTAAACAACAGAAATTTATTTCTTACAGTTCTGGAGGCTGGAGGTCCGAGATCAGGGTGCCAGCAGGTCAGGATTCTGGAGAGACCATCTTTGGGGTGCCTTCTCACAGCCTTCTCACTGTGTCCTCACGTGGAGGATAGCAGAGAGGAAGTAAACTCTCTTGTGATGAGTTTGAGGGCACTAACCCCATTGCGAGGGCTCCACCCCCATGACCTCCTCTGTCCTAATCACTTTCCAAAGGCCCCACCTCCAAATGCATGCATCACTTTGAGGGTGGGGTGGGGTTTCCAGATATAAATTTTGGGGCAACACAGACATTCAGTCCGTATCACCTTTTCTGCATTTCGAGAATAGTATGCAAGGTACTGTGCCGTTACCAGGTGGGGAGCTGGAAGGCAGCCTCTGGGTTGAGCCTCCCGGTTGAGCCTCCAGAACTTGTGGCCTGTGTCAGTTGTCACCTGGCTCTCACTGATAGTCATGCGTCATCCTTCAAGGAGAAGGCTAGCACTTTCAGGCTGAGCTTTCTGTCTTCTTCCTCCCAGCCCCAGGCTATTATTATTCAGGTGTTTGGGCTACATTTTCTCGTCTTACTCATAGAGGGACATGTTCCCCTGTTTTCCTCTCTTTGGTCGTCTTTGTACTTTCTCTTTGGAAGACCGTCTTTTCCCTCCCCTTCTTTCTCTCCATGGCTCCAGTACTCAGACTGTGGTAAGTCTCGGGGAAGCATGTTGGGAATGCACATCCCCACGCCGCTGCCTCAGGAGGTCCTCCATGATTCTGCCAGTGGAGACTGGGAATCGTACTTAACAATATCCCAGGAGCTTCTGATGTCGGTGGTTCCGCGATCATACTTTGAGAAACACAGACTCACTGAAGAAAACGACTGGTCCCCTAACTTAAAGTCATAAAAAGCAGATGGATTTAAACAAACAAACAAGCCCAAAATATATAGATTGAAATTATATAGATAATCTGCTTCTCAGAGATGCAGTGGGCAAAGTAGACCAAGTTGTTTTTCTTTATATGAAATGCTTAGTTGATTTTTTTTTTCTACTGGGGATAGACCCTCGAAAGAGGAAGATTCCCCAAGACCAAATTTCACTATACAGATGACAGGGCCTTCAAAAATACCTTCTGAAAAAGTGCTGTTGTTTCTACATAGGCATGTTTCCTTGTGCTGATCTTGGAAATCTGAGAATCAGCGCTTTGCCTTTACCATGGCTATGCCTACATGGTACAAAATGAAAATAAAATGTCGACAACTGAAAAACAAAACAAAAACAAAAACCAACCCACCCCAAATCAGTCAAATGAACTAATCAATTCCTTCTGGTTGGCTGTTTTGACATCAGGTGTCAATAGCTTTAAGGTTTAACTGTAGTAATGTATTTATTATATGCTATGGAATTCGCTTACATCGGGGACTGTGTGGGCCTTTTGTTAATATTGGCTTTCAATTTTTGCTATTCTGATTTCTGGTATTGTCGCTAAAGGGAAATTATCCTTTGCTGGGGTTGACACATGTTTTCCCTTTAATTATAGCCTCTGGCTATTAGGTTTTTAGGCTCAGCATTTGTGTTTCTGCTCAGCAGGGCTTGAGGAGAGAGAAACCTTTCAATAGAAAATATTTTTGGCCCAAATTTATACTACAAAGACTAGAAACATAAAATATCTAAAAAATCATAGTTAGACCGAGGTTGATGTGCAAGATGCCTTTAGATAGAGTACCAATGAAGTGGACACAGAGAGAAACGTCTGGGTTACAGATGCTTTTTATTCCTACGAGGTAAGCTTGACGATGCGTTTCTTGAGCCTTCTCTGGGTAAAGCTAAGTGTGTATGATGTTGAGGGTGGTCACTCATGTTTCTGTTAGGCCTATAATTACGCTTCTCTCACATTTCTTCGAATGCCAGATAGAGATTTAATCAGTATGTTTTCTAGAAGAAATCTCCAAATCTGGCTTTGAAAATTTCTTTGTCTTCTGTTTCATAAAAAGTATACTAAAGTTTTGTTTATTTGTTTGTTTTCCAGTCAATCAACCTTCCTTAATGACTTATTTCAGCAAAATAAATTTTTCACTGGAGAAGGGCTTTTTGAAGTGGATGATCTGAAATAAATAAATATATAAAAATTTTTATTTTTGCTTTTTTAAAAAGACATTTTTGGCCTGGAAATACCCTAGCTTCAGCCTTATAACTGTATAATTTCAGTTAGTTCCACATAAAGAAGAGGGCAGTTTCTCATTGTTCTTTGGGAATATCTATAGTTCCTTTAACTCAGAATGTTCTCAGTGCAACTCATTAATCACTTTGTTAAATTTTAGTGTTTCCGGGACATCTCTTGTGACCCTTTTTTTTTCTTTCCTGTGGCTTTCCACAGATCATTTGTTAAATAGTTGTATGGGACATAAATGTAGGAGAGGCAACAACCACCTCTCTGATCGTCCCTCGCGGTTTGGGAGAATTTCTTTATACAATTACCTAACTCTGTAATAGGTAGATTATGAACCCAGAAATGGCCTTTTGTTTTGCATTAGTAACAATCTCTTGTAGAATTTATTTGTATTATCTTTGTGATACAATTTGAATAAAACACTTAGCTGGTAAAATATAGGCTTTTATGTGTCCAATAAATATTTCACATGGATGGAGATCTTTGTTATTTAGAGAGACTGTTTTTACAGTCCTAAGGTGAGAGTTACCATTGGCTTTCAAATCCATGGGTCAAATGCTGGAATTGAGGAATTCTTAGACAGAGGGTGGCCGAGAATGTCGAAGGGGCAGGTGGGGGTACGGATGTCCGCCCTCCACAGTCACCATCTGCCCCTTTCACTTCCTAGCTGAGAACTCTTTCCTAGAGAACAATTTATCAGGTTGAAGATAAGACTCCTCACAGTATAACTTGATTTATAGATGGTAGAGAAACAGTTTCAGGGCCAAAATCATTGAAGGAAGACATGGAAGCTGCAGCATGAGATGGTCTTTGCCACGTTCACAAAAGGCTTCCAGTGAAAGGGGTGATGAGAACCTCAACATTTATGTTCCTATGCTTTGAATGGCTTTCCACACAGCCAGACTTTCTTCCAGTGGATGGATCCACTCTGTTAAGAATGAACCAGTCCGGGGGTTCTCAAATAACCAACTTTATTGGCTTTCCTCTCCAATCGGGCTGGAGTGAAATAGTGACAGTTTGATAAGGTGTTAAGCAGCATCACTCTGAGTTCTAGGCAGCTGGTCCTTGATGATTCTGCTTTTGTTTGGTAAGAATTCTAAAATTTACAGTAAATTTGGAGTGATTTCCTTGTGGCTATGAAGACTCCGAGGTGGTAGGATTATATAAGGCAAACCTCAGTTTTGTTCTGGGAACTCTTGTTCTGATACCTTTCCGACAGTGATGAGTATTTTCTAAATTTCAAATTATGTGGTCTTATTTAACAGAAAGTTTACAGAGAGGATTTTGAGAAGGAGATTAAAGGAAGGTCTTCACTGGATTTAGACAAGACTCCAGAATTTTTACATGTAAAATACATCACCAACCTTCTGAAAGAGGTAGGGTCTTGCGATTTACTATTAAATATTGTGAAAGAAAACTAAAGAAATAACCCAGGAAATATTTACTCCAAAATTCCCTACTAACTGAGATGTTAATCTATTCCTCTTTCTCTCACTTTGACCTTTATGACCAGAGTTTTTCATTTTCATTAAAGACAGGAAAGTGTATGTTCACATTTCCACTTAAAGTTGGGGGAAGAAATCACCTAGAGTTTCTGGAAAAACTTGAAAAATATTCTGATTCTGTGTTTGTACCTCAGAAGCTCTGTAAACAGTTTTATAGCAGTTTTTTTTTTTTTTTAATTCTGACTATGGGTGAGGCAAACTTCATTCTTTCAAATTTAGTTATTCAAAAATGCATTTTAGAACCATTTATTCAAAAATACATTTTAGAACCAGCGTTTTCTGCAACTCTCCTGTAGCATTCCCAGGACATCTGATCATCAGAAATGAGAGGCTCAAATGTGAAGGTCTGAGTAAATGACACATTGTTTCTGAGTGGATTGTGTTCTAAGGGGGGGAAATATTTAGCATAGAGAACATAGGAACTCACATTGATTTTTCATTTTACTCTCAGCAGGAATCTGCTCCCCTCCCCGCCAACTTGGTGCATTTTGGCTCACGATGTATTACATTTGCTGAACATTAAGGTCTTCAAACCAGCAATTAAAAATGTCATGCTCATAGTCCATCCCTTTCAAAGTTTCTTTTTCTTTTTCTTTTTTTTTTTTTTAGTGGCTGAAAAGTAACTCGGAGCTCTTCAAACTCCCTGTTTAAATAGAGTCTCTTTACATATAAGGGGAAGTATTACAGAACTTTTCACCCTGAATTTTGACTGAAGAAACTACTCCTGAAAGAAATATCTTAAATCAGTGAAATAAATTCAAGTACGATTCTGTACATGAACTTCCTTAATAACTGGATGCTAACTGGCCTTTACCGTTTAACTGCTTTTAGAAATTTAATGTGCCTCGCTGTCGTAAAGATTGTTGGGCTGAAATGGGCATATGGTTTAAGCAAGAGTGCTTTTGCTGTCCTACATTTTCTCACTCCTAGTTCCTCTTGAACTTTTTGAAGTCGAAGTCTAATCAAATGGCCTCTTCCTGCTATTGTCTTTCCTTTACAAAATATGCACTGTTTATATGAAACTTTGAAAGGAGACTCCCTTTTATCATTTACATGCAAATGACAATGTTAGATCCAGTTTAAGGTCCATAAGTGACATTGACTGTCTCTTTTATTTCTCTTTTTGAAAGAATCTTATTTTAGGTGTATTGATTCAGAATGTTTGCATCAGGATAGTAAAAGACCCATAAGACTATGATTAAAAATCTTTTAATTCAATTTTAAAGAAGTCTAATTTTAAAAAAGGAACTCTCAGTGACTTAATGAAATTAAAACTTTTCTTTCTAAGTATACGCATTTAGCTTTAAATTGTCTTTGCATTTTTTACTTTATTATGGTTTTTACATTTATATTGCCATTTAGAATATTCAAAGTATTGTTTTATACTTCCATTTCATTTGATTCCCCCAATTGCCCTTTAACATCAGTATAATAAGTATTTTTATTTTCATTTTGCCTGTGTGTGTGGAAATCAAGGCTCAGTTACTTAAAGTCTTTTGAAGGTCACATGTCCAAACAAGTGAAAGAATTCCTACTTTCATCCAGGTCATTTGACTCCAGAGCTCTTTCCAAAATTACATTCAGGTCATTACAATGTCTTCTAGACTATTAGTTAAGCAGAGGACTAGCTAATTTAATTATACTGGACAAAGAGAAAATAACATCAAATGAACCCTAGAATTTACTGGAATATAACTTCTTATTATTAAAGGAAGCCTCATCTTTTATCTGGCAAGTTAGTCATAAGTGCAACTCAGTTGAATTGGATCAAGATATATATTGTTTTCATAATACATTTACTAGGGAAAAAAAAAAGATTCATTAGCAGAACAAAAACCTCAAGTTATATATGAGTATTAGTAGAGACATTTGGATCTACTTAAAATATAATATTAAAATGGATGACATTCAAACTATGTATTATCAATCTGTAGGAAATTATTTGGTTTTATGAATCTGAATAAAGTTGATTTTTTAAAAAAACTTTGGCTACATCAATCCTTTTGATTTTGTAATTTTCAATTCTTTTTCAACTGTGGTCTTTTGGTGATTCATAATTTATAGACAGCTTTCAAAGAAATACTTCAAATAATTAATAAGAAGCATTCATTCCCAAGATCTTCCTCACCACTTAAAAGGAAGACATCTTTTTAAAATATGGCACCAATATGGTACCAAATATACTGGAAGTCAGGATGAAAGGGAAAATCCTGATAAAATTGGAAGCCACTCTAAACATGACTAAAAGAGAAAATAGAGTCTCTGTAGAAAATTAGGAGCATAAATACTCAGGAGTCTGATTCATAACTTCCTAGAGATATTTTCTCCTTTCTTTGGTCTCTAGAAAGCATGTGACATGGTATATCAATTAAAGGGTATCCCAGAAAATTTTGAACTGTCATGTTCTTGTCTCATAGAAGGAATATAAGAAAGATCTGGAAAATGAAATAAGAGGCAAAGGAATGGAACTTAACCCAGATGTTCTTGATATTCAAAGAGCAAAACGTGCATCTGAAATGGCTAGTGAGGTAAGTTTATTTATTTAGCAACTGAAAATGTATGAATTTTCAGCTGACTTCCTTGTCTGTAAACCTTTTTCAAAGATTTATATACATTCTGTAACTTTTATGTGCCAGGTGATGATAAGTAGCTATTCCTAGTAGTCATTTTCCAGTCAAGGAATTAAAGAAAAAAAAAAAAAAAGATATTCACCATCTCCTTTCCATGTGGTATGAGAAAAATGACCATTTCCCCCTTGCAGAGAAATAATGTGTTTAATAAACTAGAATAATTATAGACGATTCAATTTGAATTTTTAGGGAAGTAAAAGGCAGAGGATTGGGAATGTGTGTTATTAAGCTCTGTCAGTTACTATGGTGCAGGTCACATGCTCTCCTGCTCTCTACCCAACGGAGCCCCCACACCGTGCGTCCACTGCTCAGTGAGCCCACATAAAGCTCTTTATGAAGTGAGAGTGACTTTGCTCACTGTACATGGAATTTGTGGGGAGGAATGAAATGCCCCTGAAGAGCTCGGTCCTTTCATCCTTGTGTTAGGTCATTACTTTGGTATCAGATAATGGCCCTGCACTTTGAGGAGAATCTAGCTGAACTGAGCAATGAGAAATGGAAAGTTGTGTCCCCATAGGTTCATAAACTGAGGTAATCATGATGATGGTGACCCTGTAGTCAGGCTGCAGATGACAGGAACCCAACTCAAACTGGGTGAAGCAACAAAGGGAATGTTTTGGCTTATGAATAGAGAAGTCGGAAGTCAAGTTTCCTTCAGGTTGGAATCCAAAAGACGTCTCTCTTCCTTCCTCTCTCAGTTCTGTTGTCTTTATTGCTTCAACCTTGGGAAGCTATCTCCAAGTGATGGCTCATCCTAACAGTAGGATAACTCCTATCCGTTCCAGTAATCCCAATAGGAAGTGAGCATCTGTTTTTTTCTTTCTTTTTTTTAAGATTTTATTTATCATCTGACAGAGAGAGACACTAAGAGAGGGAACACAAACAGGGGGAGCGCGAGAGGGAGAAACAGGCTCACTGCTGAGCAGGGAGCCCTATGCAGGGCTCGATCCCAGGACTCTGAGATCATGACCTGAACCAAAGGGAGACGCTTAACCGAATGAGCCACCCAGGTGCTCCTGAACATCTGTTTCTTATATTTACAGCTAAGGTCCTAGGATTGAGTCTCACTGGATTAGCTTCTATCCTGTGTCTACTTCCGCCCTAATCATTGTATCTGGGGCAGAGGAGTGTATGGTATGGTTCTCGTGATCCCTCCTTGGTTGTTTAATTGCATTCTAAGTGTAAAAGATTTAAGGGTTGCCTGGATGGCTTGGTCGGTTAAGTGTCTATTTTCAGCTCGGGTCAAAATCCTGGAGTCTTAGGATCAAGCCCCATTTTGAGCTCCCTGTTCAGCAGGGAGCCTGCTTCTCCCTCTCCCTGACCCCTGCTCACTCTCTCTCTCTTTTTCTCTCTCTCAATCTCAAATAAATAAAAAATCTTTAAAAAAAGATTCAAAATTGTTATGTGTTTAAAAAAATTTATAATCATCTTTGGCCATATCCGTGTTCTTTAAATGAATTAAAGAATTAAAAACCACTATGATGTCTTTGGCTAATATTGTCATCATATATCACTAAGTTAGCAATTCTGTACAGATTCTTCTTTTATGGTGACATGTACAGTCCACCTTCAGAGGTAGATCTTGTAATCACTTGTCGGTAATACCTGGAAAAATCATTTTAGACTCTCAATGGCGGAGTCCATCTAGATACAGCTGCATGGCACGATGGTGGCAGGAACAGCAGTAAGTCAGCCTTAGCCCTATGAGTATAGGAGTAAAAGACCAAAAGAAGCTATCAGTTATTGAACACCTACTATGTGCTGAGCACTATGCTATATGCTGTCTCATTGCTCCTTGGACGGCTGGTGCATGGAGGAATTATTGCCCCCATTTTGCAGATGAGTAAACCGGAAATGTTACACATTCCCAGTGTCACACAGCAATTGAGTGCTCGGGCCTCCAAATCAACCTTCTTTCTATGGCATCAACTCATCGAAACCTGCCTTCCTATCCCCCAGCCCCTAACACAGTCATCAGTGAAACTTCTCAGCATGTATAGTAAAAGCCTCAAAGCTTCACATACCCTTTTCCAGTGAGAATGGTGATACCCTTCTAAGCAGTCCAGAAAACTTAGTTCTAGGTGATCATTTCATAGTACAAAGTAAAGTGTGTTTTCTTCTTTTTTTTTTTTTTTTAGTATGTTCAGCAATTTTTTGGTATCATTGATTACAGATACAGGTTTGTCCTTAGAGTGTCTGAATATTATAAAATACTGTTTTTTTTGTTTTGTTTTGTTTTTTACAGAAAGAATATAAGAAAGACCTGGAGTCAAAAATTAAAGGGAAGGGAATGCAAGTTGGCACTGACACCCTTCAAATACAACATGCCAAAAAAGCTGCAGAGATAGCTAGTCAGGTTAGTCGAGTGAATGGTACAGATGTCTTAAAACCTGTATTTCAGGGGGCTCCTGGGTGGGTTAGTTGTTAAGCCTCTGCCTTTGGCTCAGCTCATGATCCCAGAGTCCTGGAGTCAAGTCCCGTATCAGGCTCCCTGCTCAGCAGGAAGGCTGCTTCTCCCTCTCACGCTCCCCCTGCTTGTGTTCCCTCTCTCGCTGTCTCTCTCTCTGTCAAATAAATAAATAAAATCCTAAAAAAAAAAAAAAACCCTGTATTCGGAACTTCACAAATCTTATTAACCTCCCGATTAGTACATGGAGTTCCCCAAAGCTTTGTGATTAGTTTAAAAAGTTTGGAATGGAGACCATTCTAAATCAGCATGTTTGTTTGAAAATGTTTAGTTCCTGCTTTACTCATTTCCTTTAAATATATCAAAGAAAACTAGGGGGAAGGCATTTTAATAGAACACACACACACACACACACACACACACACACACACACACACAAACATACACCCCCTCTTTCTTATCTTATCCTTGGCATACAACAAATTTCACATTCATTTGGGCTACAATAAATGTTTTCATGCTATGTTTTCTTTAAGGATAGGTCATGTGCCTCTCCGTACATCTGTGTTTCCCACTTTCTGAACAGACCTTGAAAATCACATATTGAGACTCTAGCCTGACAGTGATAACCATTTCTGTATGATTTGGTTGCACGTTCTGAAAATACCCCATTGACCTCATCACCATGCCGGAAATTCCTACTGGGTTAGCATTTCGGATTGAAGTGTTCTATATCCTGAATGACCGTGTTCTTTCATCTAATATTTTCCTCTTCATGTAATGCATGGAACAGCAGGATATTAATTAAGAAGTTTTGGCTTAGAGGCTATGATATGATAGAGAACAGATAACAACATTGTAGGAGTCAGACCATAAATGTGTAGTTTTTTGGAGGCAATACCCCAGAACCAGTTCCATACCTCTTGAACTCCTCCAGTAATTTCGAGAATGTACGAGTGTCACTGGAGTAGAGGGTATTTGGGAAGAGCTGATTTTGTGAGAAACATTTGTGAAGAGAATGTTGGGGAGAAGGCTAAGGAGTGCTGTCCACTTACTTCAAGGCTGGTTGGGGGGTGTTTCAGTGGGGCTACTCTGAGAGCTGTAATGCAATGTGTTTGCAGTTAGGAAGAGCCAGCTCAGGGCTGACTCCCTGCAGGAAATCTGGAGGGTGAGAGGGAGCTGATTAAATGCCCTCCAGTCTGCTGCTGTGTTGGGCTCTGCTTATATCCCCAGGGTTAGGGACTGGCCAGGGGAATGGAAGGGTCATAACTGGTTTAGAAAAAGGATCTGGAGATGATAGGAAACTTGAGCAATAGAGGTTTTATTTAGAAATGACAGAGTTGGGGGGATGCATGCTGAACAGGTCCTTGAAAACCTCCTTTGACTTGACCCCTCCCGTTCTCCTGAAATATAGCCGTTGTTGCAGATTTGTTGTAGAACCTTCTGGATCTGTTTTTATGTGTATATAGATAAACATAACACTTATGTACATATAGACTTAAAAAGTCCTTAAATACCATGTATTTTTTCCCATACTTGGTTTTCTCACTTAATATTATAGACCTTTTTCCATATTACTTCATATAGTTCTACCTCATTCTTATAGCAAAATTGTTTCATAACTTGGATGTGAATATGTAACCATTTACCTTTTGATGTCTCATAGGCATTACCACATGTAAATGACATGTAAAATGTAGTAACAGGATCTCAATATTAACACAATAAAACCAGAAGGCTTAATTTTTCCCCAGATCTGCTTTCCTTTTCCGCTCCCTTCTTAGCAAATGGCATCAGTGAGATCTCCGAAGTCGCTTGGATTCTTCTCATCAGCAACTTTTATTGACTCTGCCCCCAAAATAATTTCTAAATCCATCTACTTCTCTCCACCCTAGTCCAAGCTACCATGTTTGTCACCTGGATCCCTGCAATGGCTTCTAGCTAGAATTCTGCTTCCATTATTGTCCTCTTCATAGCCATTCTTTACCCAACAGCCAGAACCATCTTTGAAGAATTACATTAAATTATGTTAGTCTCACTACTTAGAACTCTCCAATGGTTTCCAGTTATGTCCAGTATAAATGCCCCACTCCTTGCTCCTGCATTCAGAGCCCCTCTTCTGCCATTCTCATCTTATTCCCCTCTTCCCTTGCCCATTATGATTGTCCTCCAGCCTCACAGACGTGCAGTCTCTGCACAGTGCTGTTTTCTTCTGGAAGGTTCTTTCCCTGGTCTTTGCCCAGTTGTTCTTTCTAGTTATTCATTCCTTAGATGTAATGGTACTTTTTAATGGTGGCCTCCTTGGGATTCCAAGTAACTAGCTACTTGAAACTATCAAACTATTACTTATAAATCTCTGAAATGCTTCTTATTATTAGGAGGGGGCAACATCCAGTGTTAGTTCAAGGTACTGGCTTGGAGTAAGGGGGTTGGGAGTGAGGAATTTGAGGCTGGAGAAGAGGCTTCAAAATCAGCCTGAGAGTTGAAGCCAAAAGAAGCATCCTTTTCATGGAGAGAACAATGTGGAAAGACTACAAATTATGTATTTCACACTTTTATCTAAGCACAGGCCTCTAAGACACATTCCTTTCATGAAATGTTGGAATGTCATGTCTTTCCTTAAACGGTATAGATTTGTTTTATTTAACGATATGCTGCTTTCAATTTCTGTGTGTAGCTTAGGAATGTCTGCTAATTCTTGAGAAGCTAGGGGAAAGAAAGGCCTAGGGGAGTCAGCTGTCCTATGGTTATATGTGCATCCTGATTATAGCCGTGCTGTTATCTCTGCAATCCAAAGGTCTCATTTGTATGTAATCTTAGCCATGTCCCATTTTGCCCAGTTGCTAGGTTCTTGCATCCATTTCAACCAAACTTTGGGACTTTCAAGGCTTAACTTTTCAAGGAAATTAATGTGGTATATATTGTTACATGAATCACTTCCAATAGTTAAACCCTCCAGAACCTATGGAATTGACCATGTGACTTTCTTTAGCCAATAGGAGATTAGCAGACATGACTCAGGCAGACCCTATAAAACTCTTGTGCATTGGGGCTTGTCTTCTTGGAATATAGGTGCCATCATGTTTTTTTTTTAAGCCTTCAGAGTTTTAGGGTGTTTTATTATACATTAGTATGTAAATGATGTAACTAGGGTCCTATGTAATCTATTGATGTGCTTGAGGATGCTTTTAGATTTGAAAATTCATATTGCAAAATTAAATGACATACTTCTACCCTGGGAACTTGGTGGCTATCTATGATTAGTGCCTCACTTTCTATATACATTGTCCTTCAAATGAGGTGCTTTGTTTGGGGGCCTTAAAGAGGCTTACTAGAAATTTTTTTTAAAATACACATAGTTATAATGAAATATTATGATTTTGAAGGTTAAATGCTATTATTTAAATTGTATTCAGAAAAGTGAAACTGAGACTCCAAGTCAGTGAAAATAAGCAGAATTACGAGTAGAAGATAGGAAAAAATATAATATTTTTCTGAGATTGAGATCTTTGTTTATACCTTTTAAAATATAGGATATCACAAATAAGCAAGCCAACATTTACGCCATTGCAGGGAAACTACAAATCTAGATTATGTCACATCTAGGCTACGTCAACATAATCAGAAATCACTGTTTTAGAAGAAATGTAATTAGATACAGCAATGTTTTTTTTCTTGTAATACAGTTTTTCATTGAAGAATCCATACACACTGAAAAGTATACAATTTAAGTCTACAGCCTGCTCAAATTTTATAATCAGTTTTAAAATGTGATGAGTCTTAGAGACATGTTGTGTCTGGGTAATTACGACTATTTTGTAAGTAACACATAATTCAATTCAGGCTGCTCAAAATAAACAGATAATTTATGGTTCTTAGAACTAGACAGTAGAGGAAGCCCTAGGCTGGGCTTGCTCTGGGGCTCAGACAATGTGATTGAGTTTCAGTTTCTATCTTCAGTTCTCAGGCAGGCTTTCTTTTGTTCGCAAAGAGGTTCTTAGCAGCTCCTGGGGCTTCTTCTTTCTCCATCCATGACTAGAAGAAGAGGGAAAGCTTCTTGATAGTTTGTGTGGAAGAAGAATCCTACTCGTCCCTGGAGAATTTTGGAAGGGCCAGGGATGGAACTTCACAAATCATATTGTGATTATACCCCATACTCCATACCCCAAGGGATGGGGTATAATGGTAAATTTATGTGAGCCCAACAGGACCCCCTGACTTGGGCCAGCCTCACCCAAGCTGAATGGTCTAGTATGGGGGAGCTGTGAGTTGCCCAGTGGCAAAGCAGGGAGCTAATGGGAGTTGGGGGGGGAAGAGCGGTTGGATTCCAAGGAAGCAACCAGAAATAATTATTCACTACAGAGCAAAAAGTGACAATTTTGCAATGACATCCTACTGATACTCATCAGATGAGTTATATGTTAACCAATAACTGATCAATTTTATTGTACTGAAATAGAAAAACTTCCTCTTTAGCTAACTGTGTTTCCTTTCTTAATTCAGGTTAGTAGGCAGGAGCCTTCTGATCCCTTGTGAATAAGTCACTCCAAGCCATGTTCCTCCCACAAATTTTAAAACTCTTCCTAGTTTTGTAGAAATAAGAGTCCAAAACCATGATCTTGATGTGAAATGCCAGCACAGTTGTTAACAGTTTTTCACATTCTTGTGGAGCCCTCACTGCATGTTTTATTTTCTCCAGAAAGACTATAAGAGAGATCTGGAGACCGAAATAAGAGGGAAGGGCATGCAGGTGGGCCTAGACACTCCTGATATCCAGAGAGCCAAGAAAGCATCGGAAATGGCCAGCCAGGTGAGGAACCCACAAGATACAAAGTTTACAATAGACACGATGATCTGGGTATAGAAAAAGCATAAATGGCATTTTCACATGTGTAGCCTTGAGATTCAAACACATATATATCAGCCTTGCTCTGGAAGGAGAAGCAAAGCTCTGAAGATTATTTTCTGTTCGTTTAGAAAGAATATAAGAAAGATCTGGAAAATGAAATTAAGGGGAAAGGAATGCAAGTGAGCATGGACATCCTGGACATACTACGAGCCAAGAGAGCATCAGAAATCTACAGCCAGGTTGGTGGAGGGAGTAAAGAGGCTCTGAATACCATTTTCTGATTTTCAGTCCTCATGTGCTTTGTGTGTCTCTAAGACTGGTATTTTTTGGAGGGCACTGTATTCAAAGTCACTGCACTCTATTCTAGGAGCTATTGGTCAAACTTGATTAAACTCACTAATGAAAGGAAATTTGCTGTAAATTCAATTCAGTGGCTGTTATTGAGTGTCTGAGCTCCCCTGTTTGAGTCCAACAACACTGTGATCCTTTTTATTTTTAGTTTTTGACTCTAGTGCACACTTGAATCCAGAGCTCACACTATAGAGAAAAGATTACAGATGAGTTTGTCTATTAACCATCTCATAGTAATAATGAATATTATCCCTAAATAGTCAGCTCCAATGAAGAATGAATAAAACTGTGCAAGGTGGAAGGTGAAATTGAACATTAACTAAAAATTAAGAGAAGAATGGTCTTATTGGTAAAATTTAATTTACCAAGTGTGACCTGTCACACATCCTCTCAAAAGACTTGTAGAAAAAAAGCTCTAGAAAAGCTGGATATGGATATAACCACAAAAGAATATATCTCATGGAAGAAGTTATGGATAAAATCTGATCTGGGCAAAAAAATTCATTAGGGAATATTGTCTTCGCTAAAAAATTTACAAGGAAAAGAATGAATCCCAATGGAAAAAAAAAAACAGTAAAGGGGAATGAAAAAATTAAAATGGTGATAGAAAATTGACAAAGGAATTGCATTTGATGAATGGGATTTATGATGAAAAGAATTTTCAACAAAATCTGACCAAATTTGTTAGAATTCTGATTAAAGCACAAGCAGAATCTGAACATCTAAAGGGCGTCTCCAGACGACAGAGTCAAATGTCAAAGGAATTGTCTGCTTCTCGGCTCCTCAGATGACAGAGCTGTGGGATGGTCCTGAAATGCACGGCCATCTGTCCTCAGTGTCTCCTGGTGCCACCTGAACTAGAAGTTGGCTCTAACTATATCAAGTGACTAAAATTATAAATAAATACATAAACCAAGTAAAGGGTCATAGGAGTCAGTGGAGAAAAGTTACTGTTTCAAGAATGTCAATCTCATTCATTCATTCAGTAAATACTTTCTGAGCACCCACTTATGTGTAAAATTAGACATGGTTTTGCCCTTGGGGAACTAATCTCATAGTTTAATAATCAAATAATCACACAAATACAGTATTACCCACCATGATATATGCCACTCCCTCCAAAGGTAAGGGCTTCCCATGGGAAGCGATACCTGAGTTGTCAGCATTCCTGCCTTAGCTTAACAGTGTTGCTTTGTTTGTGTGGGACAGAAGGACAAATCTAACTTCAAGGAATTTTCATTATTTTAGGATACAATGGAATACTTATGAGATTGTAATGATGCTGTGCTGAGTCTCAACATGAACAATAATTACCTTTCCTGACAAGCATGCGTATGCCATAATGGTTAACTTCACTGACTTTGGACCCAGAGTGCCTGGGTTGAATCCTGGCTCTGACACTTCTTAGTGAGTGTCTCAGTTTCCCCATCTATAAGAGGGGATAGTAACACCATCTGCTTGGAGAGTTGATTTAATGAGTTAATGTGTATTTCAAACCATACCTATGACTATATAAATGTGGGTACTCGTTGAAGGTAGGGCCCAGATTGTACCAGAGCTTATAGTAATACATTTAGTACACAGAAAATTGAGATTTTAATCTCAACTACAGAAATACTAGTGTCTTTCCATTATACAAATGTATCTTTTTCTGAAGTAGGAAACAAAGCACAAATCCAGAAGCGTGAAAAATAGCGCATATAGAGAGCCATGTTACTCGTGGGAGCTATAGGACTACCTTGAACAGGGACTGGGGCTGCTCATGAAGGACTGGGTTTCTTTAGGGTTCTGGTCACCAATTCCAATGTTTGTGGAGGCTTCCCCACACCAACAAGCAATTCTTGGACATCAGCAGGGGGCTGGAGAATTCAACTCAATTCTGGCACTGTCTACTAGAAGCTGGCACCAAGTTCTACAGGTTATGGGCTCAGTCCTACAGGATGGTTCCCCTCCCCTTTTCAGATGCCAATTGCAAGCTCAGTTTTTCACCTGCGCTTTTGGTCAACAGGCTATAGATCACAGGTTCCCAGGACCCCGTACTCAGGGTTCATTTGCTAGAGCAGCAGACGGAACTTACTAGATCAGCAGTTTATTATAAAAGGATATAACATGGGAACAGCCAGATGGAAGAGATGCATTGGGCAAGGTATGAGGAAGGGTCATGGAGCTTCCAAGCTCTCTCTAGGTTCATTCCCCATTTCCCCCAAATCTCGCCATGTTCACCAACCTGAAGCTCTCTGAACCCTTTCCTTTTGGGTTTTATGGAAGCTTCATTACATAGGCATGATTGATCAACTCTGGGTATTGGTGATTGATTCAGGCTCCAGCTCCTCTCCTCTCCCCAGAGGTTGTGGGTTGGGGACTGAAAGTTCTAACCCTCTAATCGCTTGTTTGGTTCCCCTGGCAACCAGTCCCATCCTTAAGTGTGGTCCAAAAATCATTTCACTAACATGACTAAAGGTATTTTAACCACTCTCATCACAGGAAATTCTGACAGTTTTAGGAGCTCTGTGCCAGAAATAGGGACAAAAAACCAAATGTGTATTTCTTATCGTAAGTCACAATATCACAAGTTTCTAATCTTAGAAATGGCACAGAGGCCAAGGCCTCTGGAGGCCTTTGGATGGACTGGGGTGGGAACCATTTCCTGAGAAGAGGCACCCTGTTTCTCTGGACTCTTTGCTTACTGTTTGCTTATTCCTTTTATTTCTGCTGTCCCATCAACAACTGCTTTGAGTCATAAGATATAATTTATGAGGATATGAGCCATGTGGAATAATAGAGTTGGAAGCTGCATTATTTTCTATCTCTCATACATGTACATCACACACAGTCTCAGATTCATATTAAATGTTTATATTTTTAGAAAAAGTATAAAGACGAAGCAGAGAAGATGCTTTCTAACTATAGTTCTGTGTTAGACACTCCTGAAATTCAGAGAATCAAGATAACTCAACAAAACATTAGTGCGGTGAGTAACAATTACTGCTTCTCAGTGGGCACCTTGAAATTTTGTTTCCAGAAGGAAGGCATTTTTCCTCATTATCTGATTGTTGCATTGTTTGAATTTTCTATCAAATGTATTATCTTTCCTTCGTTAAAATAACAAGAGTACTGTTAACCAAAATTCAGTCAAGTCAACTTAAAGATCTGATTGGTTTTATTCAATAATTCATGAATCAGGCAGTGTCCCCTCTAACAGATTTGAGAATGATCAGTAGAGATGTACAAAATGTAAGGCTTTGATAGGCAGAAACCAGCAGGACAAGGAAGTTATTAGCAAGAGAGAAAATAGGATTGCTTCATACAAGGTCACCTTCCCTTAGGGAAAAAGATGGGGGTCTATCACGCAGATTACCTCTCTAGTGCTGATGAGGAAATTCCAGACTGATTGGTTTAAAATTCCACTCTTGGGAGAAGCTGAAACTGCAATTACTTTAGGTATTAAGTTTTGATGGGTCTTAACATGAGTGACTCCATTTGGGGCCTGTTGTTTCCCTTTAATAGTACCAAATGTTCTTATATGGTACAATTTATCATGATTGTTTTGGAATTACAAATTCAAATTTTCTTCTGTAGTACAAGCAAGAGTTCTTAAAATTTTACTCATGGAAGAGGTCTTAATCTTCCACACAGATTTTACTTTGGAGATGAGAATAATCCTATAAAATGACTTCCTTCCTGATCACTGATTTGCCATGATAATGTATTTAGGAATTTACTAGTTTATAACCAACTCCTAAACTTTTATATTTTTTACTTTGAGGAATAGGAGTTGTATCAGCAATCATTAATTAAGGGACGAGTCTATGTTTGATGGATATACAAACCTGAATTCTAAAATTATAAAAATTGACCATACAGCCAATATTCATAAGTAGAACTAGCTCATTAGTCATTTAGTAGTTAAGTAAAGGTCCCATCAAAATACAAATTCTATGAAGTCTGAGGACTTTTGGAATATTTCTACTTTGTAATAAATTGACAAACTCAAAACCTGCAGGTGTGCTAGTCAGGTACCGTTAGCGCCTTCAAAGCAAGTGTGCTAAGAAAGGGAAAAGTATGGCTTGAAGGGATGATCGGGGGAAAAAGCTGTTTCCACTCTTATCTCCTGTGATTTCATGTGTTATAGATTTTTTTTCTTTGGGGGAAAACATCTCTGAGGCCATACTCTCCCAACCCCCATTAGGGCTCACTGAGTTACCAAATCTTTACAGAGGGAATAGTTTTTCCTCATCTGCCTTTCTGATATTTACTTTACTATTCGGTAAAACATTTTGTTTCTTCGTTTTGCTTTGTCTTAGAAAGGCCTGGATTGTTGGTAGGAGTGGAGAGCCATGTGGGTAGGTTAACGAATAAGTAGAAGAGACGGAAATAGACTGAATAAACTTTTGATGTTGATGATGAAGACACTATTTTCTGCGAAGAGAATGAGGGCATCTTTGTGTTTGGAGAATAGCACTTGCTTAAAATTTCATGCCATTTTTGAATTAAATGAAACTGCTTAGGAAGCTTTTCTAATATGTGCTTTGCTTTTTCTCAAACGCACATATGATACATGTTTATATTTGAAGAAGGAAACTCTAGTTTGCCAACTTTTTTTTTTTTTAAGATTTTATTTATTTATTTGACAGAGATCACAAGTAGGCAGAGAGGCAGGTGGTGGGGGAGGGGAAGCAGGCTCCCTGCTGAGCAGAGAGCCAGATGGGGGGCTTGATCCCAGGACCCTGAGACGATGACCTGAGCCGAAGGCAGAGGCTTTAACCTACTGAGCCACCCAGGCGCCCCAAGTTTGCCAACTTCTATTCTTAGACCACATAATCTGCAGCCATGTCAGTTACCACACACGAGGTGTCGGGGGTTACCTGTGGGATGCTGTGGAATGTGAGACCCAAATTGGACATTTATTCTCATAATGGATTATTTAATTGATTGATATAACCTCGTTACTCATAAGCAGAAGCTGTATTCACATTACCTGAGAACCTAAGAAACTGTCTTTCTTTAATAAGAATCTGATCTAGGACCTGAATTCCAATAAGCTTCTAGTTATTCTTTCCTTCTCTTATAATAAAGATATTTTATAAGAAAGAAATAGGAGCCGGCACAGCAGTGAAAGATACTCCAGAGACTGAACGAGTAAAGAAAAATCAGCAGAATATTAGTTCAGTAAAGTGCTTTACAACATTAATTATCCTTTCCAAAAGCAAACATAAGCTAGATAAATGTTTTTAGTTCTTTGCTAAACTGGCTGCTTTTTCTTTTAGTCTTCACTTTGTTAAAATGCTATTTCATCAAATATCAAAGGTCTCACTTTCAGAAGGAAAACTGTAGCCTTGTTCCCCTTGAACCTAAAGCAGTGTTTCATCTTGATCTCTCATAGTGCACGAGAGATAGATCACTTTAATAGTCCAGTAATGAAATCTAGGATTAGATTTCATCTTTTGAACAGAATTTTAACTGCATTAAATTTTTCAGAGGAAAGATAAATTTCAGTACCTCTCCACAACTTGGAGGAAAGAAATTTTACCCTACAGAACGATTGAAGGCCCTTAGTACATTTATTTGGTGGCTTAAGAGAAGGTTTCAGAGGCCCCGTTTGTGTTCTACTTCTTCCAGCTTTCAGCAAAGCAAAAACATGCACCTTTGCTATAATTTGCAAAATAACTTACCCTCCAACTCTCTTTGAGCTTGGAGGGGGAGGGTAGAGGAGGCGCTTACTATTATGGGTGAAAACTTTTTCATTCGGTATTTGACATTTACAATGGAGACTAGCTATCCTTACCAACAGGAATTCTTCCATGGATATGTAGTATATTTAATTTCATTCATTCTTTCTTTCTTTTCTTTTTCTTTTTTTATTTTTTAGCATTTTGTAGCCATAAAGTATTTTTATTTTATTTTATTTTAGGGAGGGAGAGAAAGAAACTTAAGCAGGCTCCTTGTCCAGTGAAGAGCCCCACATGAGGCTTGATCTCACAACCCTTAGATATGACCCGAGCCAAAATCAAGAGTTGGATTCTTAACTGACTGAGCCACCCAGGCACCACATATATTTAGTTCCTTGTTGAGGAAGTCTTAAAGGTTCTTTCCTGAAATCCCCTTCTCCTTTCTCTTCACCTTCCCTCTTGAAGGCAGAGCCTTTAAGTAATTCAAGTAGAACAGCCTGGGTTAGATATCTCTGTCAGGATAGTTACATGGCATTCTAGAAGATGAGTGCACATGGGCTTTTGTGGAGAAAGAGTAGGAAAGTCAAGGTAATGCTGTTATAAAGCACACTTCAAAAAAAATCTGCAGAATACTAGTGCAATAAAATTTCTATAGCATGAATGAACAAAGCTTTCTCCTGAAGAAAGCGTGAAGAGAAGGAGCTTACAGTGAGGGCGTGCAAATGTGTTCTGATCCACTGTGGCGAGAGCCTTGTGTCTGGCCATGCTGGGATCCGCTGGGGAAGTTAGTTTGGCAGAAAAGAATGCAATGTTTGTTTCCTTCACTTCCAAATGATAATATTTGAAATGTACCCATCAGTGTACTGAAATACAATGTTACAAATGTTCTGTAGTATGCAATTCCATCGCTTATAGGAAGATGACTGTGCCATTTTGATTAGTTTAAAGTCGTATGAAAAACACAAATGTTCATCTTTAATCACGTTTAGCTTCTCGCCCGAGGAAAATCACGCAAAGTAGTATGGTAGATCATTTCTTTTTCCAGCATTCCGCTGCCTCTCCTAGCAAACAATAAATGTTCTGTATCTCTATGAGGTTGGGGCCATAAACTCCTGCTTAGTATTCAAATGGAAAGTTGCCCTTTCAAGATTAGCCAGATCTGTCAAACCAAGATATGATTCTCTAACATTTAAAGATCTCGACATTTTCCACCTCCCCTGTATAAGCGTTTTAGCTATTAGCTTTCCCCGTTAAGAACTATTTTTGAATCTTTATTTAGAGGTGGTCTTTCGCAGTGTATTCTCGATTTAACTGTTTCGGTTCTGGACTCATATTGCCATTGTTACTCATATTAAACCTAAGGCTCCTAGGACATAGACATGTAGGTTACCATTTCTTTGCCACCGTCAGCGTGGATTTCAGCCTGAATCATTTAAACATTACCAAGTGATTTCTTTTTTTTTTATGATTGTATTTATTTATTTGATAGAGATCACAAGTAGGCAAAGAGGCAGGCAGAGAGAAAGCAGGGGTGGGGGCGGGGAGCAGGCTCCCTGCTGAACAGAGAGCCCGATGCGGGGCTTGATCCCAGGATATGACCTGAGCTGAAGGCAGAGGCTTTAAGCCACCCAGGCGCCCCTGCCGAGTGATTTCTAAAACCTGGTTTGCGTAGATTTAAGTCTTTGCTTAATTTCAACATGGGCCTCTTCATTTTTGCCTGCATTTACATGCTACATGTAAATATTTATGTGTGTCCTTTTTCTTGAATCTAATCTTCCATGAATCTTAGACTTATTAAAATACCACTTGAGGGCACCTGGGTGGCTCGGTTGGTTAGGCGGCTGCCTTCAGCTCAGGTCATGATCCTGGAGTCCCAGGATCGAGTCCCGCATCGGGCTCCCAGCTCCACGGGGAGTCTGCTTCTCCCTCTGACCTTCTCCTTGCTCATGCTCTCTCTCACTGTCTCTCTCTCTCTCTCAAATAAATAAATAAAATGTTTAAAAAAAATAAAATTAAATACCACTTGATACGATGGTATTACTAATCATTTCATAAATTCAAAGAGCTGTTTCTCGTCTCATGCATAACCGTGTGCTAACATGACCATTTTTGTCTGGTTGATCTTCCTTTAAATAGATTTGAGGGAAGAGCTTTTGAATAAAGTGGGTGCCAGGATATGGGCTGGATTTGTAGAACATGATTCTGTGGGTAGAAGACACATCCCAACTTTCTGCCATAGGCCCTTCAATACAAATCAGGGGCCTTGGCCTCTGCTTTTTTATACATTTCCCCCCACCTTCCACTTTCTCTTCTTTTGTTCTGCCACTTTATTTTTTTCCTTATTCCGGAATATTTGCATGCTCTCACCTAAATAAGCAGTCTTCCCAAGACTCTGTAGCAAACGCAGTCTGGCTTTTGTCTTTAAATCCATGATACATTTAAATTCACACATTAATGAGTAGAAACTGCTTTTTGGCTAGAAACTTATAAGTTATTATATTCCTTAGGAGGATTTCCAAGGTTTTTTGTGTATCTGCCTAATGATAAAATTTATTTTCATAAGCAACATTTGCTTATTTTAATGAAATAATTCTTATGGTGATGGCTAGGTGAATAGATATGAGTTCATTGGCACGTTTGGATAAAAAAAAGCATCATCCCACAAAATAAAATAAAAATTTCTGTTTCCACTGAAGGAGAATTACTGTTGGGAGTTTAAAAATTCAGCTGTGTCATAGTTACGAATGCAAGAGTCTTACCTATCTTTTAAGCCTTGCATTGAAGAAAACCCACATTGTTTTTTTCTGTTTGTTTTGTTTTTAATAATTTACCACCTTATTTCTTAAATACATAATGCAGGTAAAATACAAAGAAGAGATGCATCAGGCAACGGCCATTTCCGATCCTCCGGAGCTAAAGAGAGCTAAAGAAAACCAGAAGAACATCAGCAATGTGTGATCATATTTCTTGAGTACCGTTTTCTATTTCATTGAATGGCAGTAGGCAGGGAGGGTGTGCACTTGTATGAGCGAAGCCCCAGGACAATGCACATTGTTGCAGGAGGCCCAGTTGCTAAAAGATGGAGCTAAGATGCCTCCGCCTTTAGGCTGGGCTGGCATGGCCCCTCTTGTGTGCATTTATGCATCAAAGGACATGTTACTTGAATGCCCGCTCAGTTCTTGTTCTGGGGAAATTCAAAGCTGAGTGTGACTTCTCCAGGCCTCTAGGAGAAACAGACATGGGAATAAACACCCACTGTGCATGATGAGCTATCACAATAGTTAATATTTACTGACTGTTTGCTATGCTTGTGGAGTACATTACACGTGGTGTCTCATTTAATGATAAATAATGATTCCTTTTGCGAAGTGCTGTGGATATGCAGAGGAGGAAGGCAGTGTTCGTGGTAGAGAGGGGAAGACCCTCGGGGAAGTGTAACATTTGAGTTAGATCTCGAAGGGTTAATAAGAGTTGGGTGGATTTCGTGAGGAAGTGCCTTCCTGGCATCTGTACAGGTTCTACATGCTGGTCAAGGAGGGGAAGGTTTAGTGTGATGAGTGCATGGGGTAGAAGGTGGCAGGGACCTGCTGGTGCAGAGAGAAGTAATTCGGGCCCTAAGGAGGCGAGTTGGGAGTCCTGGTGTTTCCCAAAGTGTGGTTCACGTGTAACTGACAGGTGCTCCTCCCACGAGCAGGTCTTGGCTTAGGGATTATAATGTCTTAATGTGTCCCTTTTTCTAAAAGAAAGGGTAGTAGTTTTCAATGTGTCAGAGAGACCTAACACCCCCTTAAAATAACTTTATTTGCAAATAGTAGTGAGTTAATTTAATGAAAGACTAATATTGGTGATCATAGCATGCTTGAGAGCCAGCCTGGCATACGGTAAGGGCTGCGCACATGGTAGAAACTGGCACCGTACTGGAGTCGCAGGAAATACGGGGACTCTGGTCTGTTGGCTGGATCCCAGCTTCAGCCTTTACTCGCTGTATACCCTTTACAAACCCCCACCTCTCCCAGCCTCAACTTCCGTATCTATGAAGCTGGGACGAGGGTATTATGTGAGATTGTGCCTGGAGAGCACTTAGCCTCTCTGTGAATGAATGAATGAAAACAAGACGTGAAGAGTCCCCCGTATCAGGTTTACATCCCCAGACTTACATCCACTGCCAAGTGGCTACAACAGTTTCTCCACCTCCGTCATGCTGGTCAGCAGCATTTTCCCCCTCCGCGCTCTACCCGGAGTAATCTTTCCTTGCATCCTGGCCAACAGTAGAGCGGACACTGGACCTTTTTTCACTTTAACTGAGACAATTCATTATCCCAGATACAGAATCTGCCTAAATTCTCAACCACATCTCCCAGCACAAAGAAAGGCGCCCACTGAGGAAAGTAGTCCCCCAGAAGGGGCCTGACCCTTTGTCCTTTATTTCCTGGCTGATCAAGCTTCTCTTCACTGTCACCTTTGCGGCTGAGGGGTGCAGCTCAAGTGCATTTTTATCCGCAGGCCCCGCAGGTCCTGTGATGTCTCGCAAGAAAAAAAAAAATTCCCTTCCACTAAATTTAAATTCCAGAAAATCATTAAGACCATCCCTGTGGAGTTCCTCATAATAGGATTTTCACCTTCAGTTTTACTTTTTGCCTGTCAAAAATTCGTTTGACAGACATGCTGTTCCATTTCTTTGTGCTGGATGCTCATTTATTTCCCGGGGGTGTCATGGGATTGCTGGAAAACTGACCACAAATGTCAGGGTCTGATCCTCCCAGCCAAGAAAGAGCACGTCCTAGGCAGTAGGTCAGGCAGATTTCCATAATGCCAGTCCGAGCGCAGGCTTGCCATCGTGGGCACTTGGTAGAGAAGGGAAACGTTGAGGTTCGGGGTGTGTTTCTGTAGCAACAGTCTGTCACAGAGGTGCACGTGTGGGACGGGGGCAGCCCTCCTCGCTGATGACAAGAATATACACTTTTTATTGTTAAATATAAAATGGTGGTTTGATAGTGTTGCTTTAGTGCTATGAAGAAATGAATTCACAGAAGGGGTAATTTCTTATGACCAATAATGGCCAAACTCAAACCACCAATACATAAGACAATTCCAAAGAAGCACCACCAAAACACGGAATTCAAAACATTCGGACAAGAAGGAGCTAGGAGTCTGGGATGAGTGTGTTAGAGACGTCTGTTAGGAATGCCTATTTCACTTTACAATCCTAATGAAGATTTTAACTAACTTAACGCCCTGTAGCCATGGGGCTTTCCTTCTAGTCTGTTCTGGATGGTGGGTGCACACCTCCTTTGCCTAACTCCACGTGGTCTTGGACCTTGTCCCACAGCTCCAGTACAAACAGCAATGCCCCAAGGCCACGCCGGTGAGCGTCACGCCGGAGATGGAGAGGGTGAGGAGAAACCAGGAAGAGCTGAGTACGGCAAGTGGTTCTGTGTTCTCTATTGTCAAGTGTTACGAATTTTTCTCCTTCACGCTGCTCTCTGAAAACCTCAAGTCCTTCACAGGACTGGATGCTCCTTTTCATGGTCATGTGCTTGAGGGCATGAACTTTGGTTTTTCCTGTGATCCCGGAAGTGCAGGACTGTCTTGCTTTGATTTAGCCAGGCTTGTTTAGTCAAGAAATCTTCAGTAAGCCCCCCCAGTATACAGACTGTACACAAAGATGGGCAAGACCTAGTTCCTGTCCTCATGGACTTCATAGTTGAGTAGGTAAATCTCTAGTTTCAGGGAAGGGTCTGGAGAGAAGTGGATCTGTTGTCAGTCTGAGAAAAAACAAAACACAACTTGTTGGATAGAGCAAAATGAAGACCCGGCTGGGCTGGGATTCAAAGGCATAATATCAGAGCAGGAAACCTCTAAATAAAATGAAAAACTTTAGTCAGTCAGTAATGTGTTGCTAATAAATCAGTGAGGGGTTAACAGTCAGGAGATACCTCTAACAGGGCTCCTGTGTGAACTGCTTTATGTGAACCCATGAGGTTGGCACAAGTTATTTCTCTGGTTTGTAAGTGCCAAAAACTGAGTCTTGGGGAGGTCAGAGGACATGCCGGGGACCCATAGTTTGAAGGATAGAGATGGGATTTGAACCCAGGCCTCCCTCAATTCAGAAATCCCTTTCAAAGTACCCCCTATTAGGTATTTTTCCCATTTTGGGGACCCTTTCATGGAAATTTTACCAAAATAAACAATAGCCTTCTTCTTCCCCGAAAGGGAATTTTGAAAGACTTTAAAATTTGAGTGTGAGTTCTTCCAGGTGGAGGAGAAAATCAGGCTGAACACTGCTTTATTCGAATAATACCCTTGGAATGTGGTAGGAACAAGGGATCTTCAGCTTCTTTTGAAAGCCTCAGGTCAGAAGGAGAGTAAATGGCTACCGCTCGGCTACCTCACTGTGGTTCTCTTGCAATGACTTCATTCCCTGTGTCTCCCTTATGTTTCCATGGCTTTCAGTTAATGGAATTGGCAGTGAGCTTTGGTATTCAACAGCAAAGTATTTATTGAAAAATCAGAAGAATCAGGATCCAGGTGTAGATAGGAACTGAAGGGTGGGAGCTTAACTACAGTGGGGGAAAACGTGTACAGAAAGGGTCAATTTTGAGGTTCCTCCTCTACGGTGTGTGTGGGGGAGACCATTCTACTATCTGTTGAAACTCTCGCTTATCCTCTGCAGGTGAAATACAAAGGAGAAACTAAACAGGCAACGGCCATTTCTGATCCACCAGAGCTGAAGAGAGTTAAAGAAAATCAGAAGAACATCAGCAATGTGTGACCTTAGTAGCTTTCTTTCTCATGATAGCAAACGTATTATGGACATGTTGTCTAAGGGATCACGTTGATAACATTTTCATAACCTTGAATTGGCTCTTCTGCTCTCCATTGCCTGCCAGTTTACTTGAAAGGTTGTAGGGTCTGCGGTGGGGTGGGTACAGACAGGCATTCCGTCCTCTAGATTTCCCAGTGACCGCCAGTACGATTTTGGTCTATCGATGACTGCGTGTCCCTCTCATCTTGTCTGCGTGCTTACAGCTGCTGTGTTTCCCCAAAGGGATGCGGTGGTGGCTTCTAGCATCTTGGCCCTTCAGATAAGCTTTCCCACTGCTTTTCCTACTAGTATGTGTTCTTGTTCACTAGCCTGTCCGGTCCCATCGCCCACTCCCAGCTACTGTCGCTTTATTTTTGGACAGCGTCTTGGGGGAAATGATAAAGTGTGCATGCCTGAAGAGATCACAAGGGACGGGCCCCATGGGAGCTGTCAGTTTTTACTCAGGCACCAACCCCTGGCGTGTTCTCAACCCCCTTCTGTTTTTTTTTTTTTAATTTTTAAATTTTTTTATAAACATATAATGTATTATTAGCCCCGGTGCTACAGGTCTGTGAATCGCCAGGTTTACACACTTCACAGCACTCACTATAGCCCATACCCTCCCCAATGTCCATAATCCCACTGCCTTCTCCCTACCCCCCTCCCCCCGGCAACCCTCAGGTTTGTTTGGTGAGATTAAGAGTCTCTTATGGTTTGTCTCCCTCCCTTCCTACCCCCCAAACCCTCCACGTTGCATCTCCACTTCCTCATATCGGGGAGATCATATGATAGTTGTCTTTCTCTGATTGACTTATTTCGCTCAGCATAATACCCTCTAGTTCCATCCACGTCGTCGCAAATGGCAAGATTCCATTTCTTTTGATGGCTGCATAGTATTCCATTGTATATATATACCACATCTTCTTTATCCATTCATCTGTTGATGGACATCTAGGTTCTTTCCATAGTTTGGCTATTGTGAAAATTGCTGCTATAAACATTCGGGTGCACGTGTCCCTTCGGATCACTACGTTTGTATTTTTAGGGTAAATACCCAGTAGTGCAATTGCTGGGTCATAAGGTAGCTCTATTTCCAACTTTTTGAGGAACCTCCACTGCTGTTTTCCAGAGTGTTAACCCCCTTCTGTTTATGTAATCCATGGCTGTAGGTCACTGAGAGAATCCTTTTTTGAGGTCATTAAGGTCATTAACATATAGATTGGGTTCTCTGGAAGAGGAAATCTGGAAATCTATTAGGTTCAAAGAAATCTTTTCTTCTTCAAACCTTTAAAGTCTTATGAGCTTATAAAACAAAGGCAGGTCACTGTTTGGCACTTCTCCTCACAACTGTGTTTTGGAGAAGTAGATGCTCATCTTTTCCCGATCTATGTAAAATCACAGTTGACATAACTACATTAGTTTCAGAAAGGAACATGTTACTGAGAAGGAAGAATGGATCCGTGGGAAGCATGCCGGCCTGTTTATGCATGACGTCCGTCCCCTACTTAAGCATCTTTTCAAAAGTTCTGCCACATGCAGTTAATTACTGACAAACTGTAATAGTGTATGGGTAGGAACACCTTTAAGGAATATCCATGAAGACATTTCTCCTCTTCCTTTGTGATACAATGCTTCTGACAGCTTTACTGACGGTATGCTCATATATTTGAGTGACTTCATTCCCAGGGATTCATGCTATGGGAGGAATGAAAATAGATTGATTTAAAATGCAAGCATTTTAAATATGGTTAGCCCTCTAGATGGCATTCTCCTTTTTTCATAGTTTCCTTTCTTGGCTAGCTCCTTAAGATAGCTACTGTGAGATGCTTATTTATTCGAATTGATTCACAGTCCTCTTATTTTTTATTCTCTGAAATGGCAGGTTCATTATAAAGGTCAACTGGGAAGAGCTACAGCTTTAAGTGTAACTCCTGAAATGGAAAGAGTGAAGAAGAACCAAGAAAATATCAGTTCGGCAAGTGGTTTTATCCATTTTGGTCTGTTACAAAGGATGCGTCTGTTATTATTTGCTTGCAGTCCTGTTTGTCTTTTTTTTTTTCTTTTGTGAAACTAAAAAGTATTTTCAAGCAGCATTTGTGATACACGCAGTAAGTACATGTGTTATTTCCAATGACTTCCATTGCAAAACTTGACGTTATCCCGCAACCCTTCATTGCTCTTTCCAGATGTGATCAATGGTTACCTTCAAAGCTTAGTTCAAAGCTTAGTTTCAGACTCTATCATGCTCATTTAAACAGTGATTCAGGTTATGTTAGCCAGTGTCTTTGAAAGTGGTGACGTCTTTGATGTGCAAGTTACGGGAGTGTCACTTTGCAGATGTACTCCATTGGCTGCGGATTGTTAAATGTTCTCAGCAAAACAAAATCAGGAATGACTCGTTACACCAGAGTAAGGACATAGAGGAAAAAAAATCTTTCATTGCATTGACTATAGAATTCAGTTACTCATTAAAGTCCTTATTTGAACAGGATGCTTTCTCTTAGTAAGTATTGGGGCTTTTGCTCCGAATTGCACATGGGTGCCCAAGCCCTCAGTGATTGCTATCCTAATGGCATGCATAAACAGTTTCATAAACAGCAGTGTTCTGCCTGCCGGCTGTCCAGAAGAGCTTGCTTATGCCTGGGAATCAGCATTTAGGTTTTACACTTTATGGCTCTCCAGTGGCATTTCTGCCCAGAGGTGCTGACTGTATTTGACGTAAATTACCTTTAAGCTGTGGCTGCTTAGAAGGAAATTTGATTTTGATACTCCTTGTTTTTATCCTTTATGGTGGGAAAAAAAAGAAAAGGAAATAGAGGGATGCTTAGGTTTGGTATACATTCAAGAGTGTTGTGGTGGAAAATGGGGAAATCCTAGAAACAGGACAACACATTTAGGTTTCATTTGGTTTGGGTTTTTCCTGTTTAACGGAAGTGTGATAAGCACTTTTCCTGACTACGTTGTTAGTGGATATCGGTCATTCACACACCATTCTTGATTCATAGAGAGACTTAGGTTGTCTTTGCTGTAGCTTTTCAAGGTGAATTTTGAGAGTAAAATTTTAGATTGTTACCCTAGAATGACAGGTAATTCACTGAACAACTTCCCTGGGAAAGAATTGGGAATATGTTGTATGTGTTTCACTCGTTTGGAAAGTCTGAAAAGTTATGTAATGTTTTCTCTTAAAATTGTCTTATTGTTAAGTACATTCTACTATTTACTTTGCAGGTAAAATATACCCAGGACCATAAACAGATGAAAGGTAGACCAAGTCTGATTTTAGATACACCTGGTCTGAGATATGTCAAAGAAGCACAAAATCATATTTCAATGGTAGGGTACAACCAGCTCCTTCTTCTCATGACTAAAACATACTAAGGAATGGCCCCACCCAGTGTACTGACGGCGTCGTTCACCATTAATCTGGATAACTAACAAAGCATGAATGCAAAGCAAAATGTGGATGGGCCCATCCATTTGAGGGGACTTTCTAATCACACTGAAATGTAATGGACATCTTTAGTCCTAATAAAGTAATTTTTCTCAGTGATATTTTGGGTGTGTTTTTATTTCTAACATGACTACTATAAATACATTTTATGAGAAACATTTGTTTGGACTTCTTTTCAGGTAATTTTACAACAGAGCTTTGTATGTTTACATGTTGCAAAGAATATAAAAAATGTGTATGTTTTTTAAAGCAGTTTCATGAGGTACAATTTATATGCAATAAGGTTTATTCATTTAAAGTGTACAATTCAGTGGTCTATAGTAAAATTTACAGGTCCAATTTCAGAACTTGAAAAAAGTGTATGTTTTGAAGTACATATATCCATTTTTGCAATAATATACAAAAATTATACATATCATTATTTTTGACTCTCAATCTAATTTTAAATAATACTGTTTTCTTGGATAATTGTGTGGAAATAACATGTCATTTTAATACCTGTTAAAGGATCAAAGATAGAAAATTAATTTGTACCTGAGTTAGTACATTTTAGGAAATCACCAGGATTAAAAAATAGATGTATCTTTTAAACCTTCTCACTGATATACTGTACTGGTTTATATATAAATTTAAAAGAGCTGCTAACCATAATGATGGAAAACATTGTGAAAATATCAGCAGTTGATTCCTGATGCGAGAAAGTTGACATTTCAGACACTATTTTTGGAATAATTGGAAAAGATACATATATATGGGAAACAATCTAGATGCAGCTGAATCTAGATGCAGTTGATTCTAGATACATAAATGTGGAGAATGATCTAGAGGCAGCTGTCATATCAACACTTTGTGAAGTATGTAACAATCAGGAAATTTCAGATTGAGTTCATGTTGTTTTCCTTTTTTTCAGGTAAAGTATCATGAAGACTTTGAAAAGACAAAGGGAAGGGGCTTTACTCCTGTTGTAGATGACCCTGTGACGGAGCGAGTAAGGAAGAACACCCAAGTGGTCAGCGATGCGGCCTACAAAGGTGTCCATCCTCACATCGTGGAGATGGACAGGAGACCTGGGATCATTGTCGGTAAGCTGATGGTCCTCCTTGGCAGGTCCACACAGTCAAAAAGATTGTCCTTGGCCTAGCTTTTGAATCAGCCTACTTATTCACTAGACGACTCCTCAGATGTTTGATGTGGTGCCCATCTAAGCACAAACCATGGGCTAAGTGTTATTGTTGGTGCCATGTTGAATGGGATCTGTGGTACTTGCCAGGTTATCAGTGCCAATCCGTTCTGTTATTGGACCTTCTCTGTCTTTAATAACTTTCTGGCCTTAAGAGTGTGTTTGTATTTAAGCTCAAATACAAGACATGAGTAATAACAATGGTTGAAAAATTATTTTGTTTTCTTTTTCGCTTATGTACTTGATCAATGCATTGTACTGCAGACATCGTCTACATGGGGGACAGAAATAACAGAAAAAATCCCATTTTGGTTCTTTTACCACAAATAAAAGTGATAGAGAGATTCTGATAGTATTCCATACATGAATAGCTTTTTTTTTTTAAATATCTCTGAATGGGGATAATTGGGAGCTGTCTACAAATGTCATAAATCTGAGACGAAGGAAGTTTCTCTCCTCACTGTTCTTCTCGTCCGTCTGGGGACATCTTGAATGTTGGCTGAGATAGCAGTGACCACCCCAGAGTATAAGGAAGGGCTAGAAAGACAGTTATTGACTTTTCAATACCTATCAATGGCCCATATTCCAAATGATTGTTGTCTGAATTTTCATAGCTAGTCCAGTCCTAAAGCTCAGGTAATATTTTTGGGAACCATTCCACAGGCTCATCAATAATCTGAGTGTTAGGTTAGCTTCTTCTTCACAGGGAAGAGCTTATTTTTTTTGGAACTAGTGAAAGGCCATTTAGAGGTGGGCTGGGCAAAGGAAGTGTGTATCTGACTGGATACTGTCTTAACGTAAAGCAACAATACTGAGATCAGGGCACTAAGTTCCTTGAATGATTTAGTGAGTCTGAAAGTCCTTCTCACAGAGGGATTCCACACACGTTTGCACACTACTGACAGCTCTTCCACATCTTCCAAAGGTGACTTTGTAGAAGGCTCACTGTAATTTGGATGGATGGGCTGAGATGTTTTCACTGAAAGTAACATGGTGTTAATTTCATTGCCTTGGTTTAACATCGCATGCGGGATGGTGAGAACAGAGGCTCCAATTTGTCCCTCAAGGGTGGAGAGAGACGCTGAGAATCTGCACAGCTTACACTGAGGTCCTCTGCCCTAGATCAGGGCCAGGAGTGATGGTGAAATTCTTGTTAGAAACTGGGAGATTGTCTAGTCTTCAAGATCTCAGAATTTAGTACTCACTATCTTTGAGGTAGAAAACATTATTTATTTTTAAAATTTCAACATATATGTCTTTAAATTATTCCCTTACTGGGAGTCACGTTACTTCTTCTTACTGGGGAAGACTGTTTTCCATTGAGGACTTTCTTATGAAGCCACAAAATGAAGTTCATTCAACAAACAAACTTCTGAGCCAGGCGGGGAAATGCAGATTTAGAGATTTTCTGAGCAATTCAGACTTAAGCCAATTTGTGCTGCTTCTACCTTTGCTGGAGGCTCTGCTATTTCCTAGTTGTGTACCTGTGGCCAGGCTAACTCCATCTCTCTATGTCTTCGTTTCCCCCTCTATGAAATGGGATAGTAATAGTGCCTACTTAAATATGGCGTGACGCGTAAGTGAGTTACATTGTTGACCGACAGTGGTGCCCGCATGTAGTAGGAATGTGACCCTCAGAGCTCTACTTCTAGTTCATTAATTAATTGTTTTTACTCCGTAGCTAGATTTTTCACTCTCTGCTGGTGAGTACAGCGCTGTGCAGATTATTTTAAGACCTGAGCACCATTAGTTGGAGACGCGGGTGAACCTGGAAGTTATTATATTTGGATTTTGCCTCTGACTTAAATAGGAGAGTGGACTGGCCTGCTCGGTCTGGTTGCTAAGCATGGCAGTGAACACATCTCCTGTCCTCTGAGAGCAGGAGGCTGCTCCTTGCTCGTCTTTCCATCCCTTGTCATTCTTCGCTCAGTGCTGTGCGTTACTGCACTTTTCCCATAAATGTGTCTTGTGTGGGTTAAGCTTGCACTCATGGGCTCCCAATAAAAGTTGGGCTGGCCACTTACCTACATTTTAAACATTTGTTTCAGGGAGAGAAGTTTTTGTTCTTTGTTTTCTCAGACAAAAACCTCTCAGTCATGAAGGACTCAGGCGTCCTTGCTCAGGAGTGTAAATCAAACATTTTACCTCTTTCAGTGTGTGGAGAGCACGAGTGTTGGGGGTTCGGGGATGCGGGGAGTTGTTGGTGTGTTGGGTGATGAGTGGCGGGCTCCAGGTGGCAGGTCAATGAAGAATAAACCAGGCAAGTGAACTTTGCTAACAAAGTTTTCTTACTAAAGCCTTGTGGATGTGACTGTCCCTTTGTTCTCCTCTGAAGTGCAACAGGTTTGCTCATTACCGGTTTGCTGATGACATGCTTCATTTTCCAGACTTGTGCTTGACTCTGATGCTGACTTTTTAAAATTCATTCTTGATTTTTTGATTTCTTCCATTTGGTAAAAGACCTCAAAGTTTGGCGTACAGATCCTGGCTCCATCTTCGACCTTGATCCCCTGGAAGACAATATTCAGTCTAGAAGTCTCCATATGCTCTCTGGTACTGCTTACATTTTGAGTTCCTCCCCGTTTATGTGGTTTTGTCCTGAGAGTGAAGCTACCCTGAGCGGTAGAGGCTCATGGTACCGACTGTGTGATGTAAATTGTAAAGCTGAGGATTTGAAAAACAAAACAAACAGAGAAACAAATACTATGCTGCTTTAAAATACCATTAATCATTTATGAAAGCAAACTCACAAAAGGGCTTTTTAAATATATTTTAGATTCGTTTGCTCTAGATTCACTTAGAAAGGTGTCCAGAGATTCCTGATGTCTGCTTTTCATTAGTGAATGTGATTTTATAGGTTTTTGGGGGCTTGCAAATGCAGTCTTTGGAGTGCACTAAAGTGCTGAGACAGAAGTTTGTTTCATGGAAAACACTGTTCCAACCTTTTAAAGGTAGATGTTAAGAACCATATATAAAACAGTGGGGAGGTTTTCTAAATAGCATCATGAATGTGTTAAAATAAAATAGACTTTTAAGTACCCTTAAAATGTATCTCTGAGTGTTTGTATAACACAAAATTTATAGTGTATAGATATGCAGGTTTATTTGACTTTTAATTTAGACCGCATGTTTCCAATTAAAAGCAAAACCTGAATGGTTTGGCTATTTGGGTACAGTGATAGCATGGTTTAACATTTCAAGCTTTTAGATAGTGTTTAACAGACTGAAGCTGTGACAGTTATGCAATTATTTTAAACAATATAAATAGATGTATCCTATCCATTGGGTCTAACTCTATCCCCTGATTTATACTCCACATTTAATTACTGACATTAATGAAACTGAAAGCCCAAGGCAAAGTAGGGACTCTAATACTTTTGTAATCGGTTTGATCCACATCCTCTGCCAAATTGCCCTTAAACTTTCTGAAAATAAAGAAAAGGCAACAAATGCTGTATGCTTGGGGATTATTGAAAACGATTATATCTAACCAGACGTTAAGTTTAATAGAAATATTTTAGTTTGCCAGAGTTTCTTAGTTCTTGTCAATTTCCCATCCCCCATTTCTCCTTGAAAACCTAGACTTACAATGAGTATGAATGATTGTTCAATATTTATACATTTGACGCAATGTGTGCTGACATTTGGTAGTAGGTGACTAGAGCTTGTAGTAGTTGAGCTTTGGGTTTTTTATTTAGTAAGAGACTGTTTTTCTTCCTTGTTAAACTTTTAAGTAATTTTTCTTCTTCTTCTTCTTCTTTTTTTTTTTTTTTTTTTTTTTGTTCTTCAAGTCACTTACTCACAAACCTGAATATTTTCCCTCCAATATAGAAAAGGCGAATCACTACAGGAGACTCCGTTCTCAGTCTCACTCGAGCAGTACTTTTGGTACAGGTCTGGGAGATGACAAGTCAGAAATATCTGAGATTTACCCTAGCTTTTCATGCTGCAGCGAGGTAACCAGACCGTCGGATGAAGGAGGTAGCAAACATTAACCAGTCTTAGAGAACAATAATGCATTTTTGTAAACAAGTCACGAGTGCTTCTAACATTCTTTACATTTGCACAAACATGGAGTCTGGGTGCATTTGAAAATTTTAAATTCTGTTTAGAAAGTTGAGTCCTTTTCTTTTAAACTACTAATTTGCATTCCTGCATGTTTGTTTTTCCTGTCTTGCTTCACTATTTTCACCACCAATGGATCTTTAATGACAGAAGGGTCTTGGGACCTGCTACGTGAGTCTGTTTCACAGTTGGATGTGATGGACACATGCAGCCATAGTGGACACTGGAGTTCTGTGGAGCTTCTATCTGATTTCCATTAAGTTATATTTGAGTTACAGTTATATTTAAGTTATAAGTTATATAAAGTTAAGTTATAAGTTATATAAATATAACTTATAGTTATATTTGAGTGACTAAGAGGGGTTGCTCTGAATTTGTATGCATTGCAATATCAATATATATTTGTAGACAGAGCTAGATCTTACTGAAAGCAAATTGAACGTGATACTTGAGATATGAGATTTTTTTTTAAATGGAAAAATGCTATTGATTATTAATAATCTTCCTTATATTTCCTGTAGTCATCCTCTCTTCTGTTTCTGCATCCAAGCTAGTGGGTTAGGTCTAGACCTTTTAGTTGAAATTGTTTTGGATGTTAAACTAATCCTGAGGATAAAAGTCTTACATCAGATGTTTAACACTGTGGTGCAGCTACATTTTGGTGCTGTGGACAGTGGGGTGAGAGGGTAAGGGGCCAGCAGGGCATAAGAACTGTTGGAATCCTGAATTTCCTTTTCAACTGCAGAGGTCATATCACTGGGAATAAATCCCTGAGGCAGGCGATTTTGATTCTGAGCAACTTAACATGGGGAACTTGTGGTGGGGGGGTTGGGGAGAAAGTAAAGTGAAGGAAGACCAGATGAGACCACGAAAACTCCTGCAGTTTTGTGGTGGTTATTTCCATTCGTCTGAATAAAGGTTAAAATCAGTTACATCCCGTACTACTTAAATTACTCATTTAGGCAGGCCTTAGCTAGGTAGAAAGTTTTTTTTGTTTTGTTTTGGTTTTGGTTTTTTGTTTTTTAATGTTTCAGCTTTACTGAAGTACAATTGACATATAAAGTTGGAAGATATCTGATATGTCCATTGGGATGATCTGACATATGAGGACGTTGTGAAGGGACACCACCCACCCCTTCTCCCCCACCCTGTCTAGTTAATTAGCCCATCCATCACCTCACAGAGTTCTCTCTTATTTGTGTGTGAGAGAACATTCACGTTCTACTCTCCCAGCAGATTTCAACTAGGCAGTACGGGGTTGTCAACCATTGTCACCGCGCTGTACATTAGACCCTTGGAGTCTATTCATCTGAGAGCCCAATGTGTGCACCCTTTCCAGCTCCCCGCTCTTTCCCCCACCGCCCAGCCCCTGGCAGCCACTTTTCTACTGTTTCTATAAGTTTATTTCTTTTCTTCTTTTTAAGATCCCGCCTTGCTAGAAAGTTTTAAAAGATCTCCTTTCCCTACGATTCTAGTGAAGAATTTGTCAGTTAGTTTTGCTCTCCTGTAGATAAGATAGACATGGGCGATCTCCCTTTTCTGTAACTGCCTCTCTAGCAAAGGGTTCAAGTAACTTCTTGAGTTTTTTGATTAGGATTTAGGGTTCTTGATTTCTCCCTTCCGTGTCCTCTCTGGTCCTGGAGGTGCATGATACTGTTGATGCTTGATGAGATGAACAAAACCCAAAGCAAATACAAGAATAAATTTTGATCCATCTTAGTCAACGTAGCTCAGTGCAGCATTTTACAGTTGATGCAAGGTACCTTGGAGGCTTTGCTTCAGCAGTGACCCTTCCCCTTGTCTGTGTACACCCAACACAGCACTCATTCATTTATTCGCCAAATGTATATCGAGTGTTCTTTGTACCCCAGCCAAGAGCGGGGATCTGGTGATGCACATAGCAAACAAAAGAGATGCGCCTTTGGTCTAAGGGGTTAGAGTTTGGTGGGGGGCCCTGACATTAAACAGATACTGACCCAACTCCTATATAATTAAGAACAGAGCAAGTGCTGTGAGGGGAGAGCATGGGGGCTACAAGATGTGTAACAGGGGATTTCCATCTGGCCTTGATGTCAGCGAAGCCTTTCCAGGGAAGGAGGATTTGAGCAGAAACACCAGTGCTCGATGATGTTAACTAGGCCAAGGGGGCTTTGGGAGCAGAACGTCTTTGAGAGAACAAAGAGAACTCTAAGACAGTGTGTCAGTGAGGTGTTCAAACGGAAGTGTCAAGTAGGCAGAGTGCAGAGGGAGGGTTCCATGGCACACAGCTGTGGGAGGTCTGGGATGAACCTTCCAGGAGAATTCAGACCCCCTCCCCCATGGGTCCAGTCCCTGTGCTGCTGTGAATTCTCCATTCTCTGCCTCCAGGGCTGCACCTTGAGAACCCACTATTGTTCGATTAGCCATTCTTTCTCCTCCTCTGCCACGCCTTCTTTTTTCTAACTATTTCTAGCAAAAGGACCCTCCCTATACTATGCCCAGCTGAATGAGAAAATGTCTCCCTTGAAAGATGGTATATGTAAATGTTCTTACAGTTATGCCAGAATGTAAGAGTAATACATGGTTAATAGGGAATAATTACTTTTTTTTTTTTTAAATGGAGTAATTTCTGGGGCTCCCGGGTGGCTCGGTTGGTTAGGTGGCTGCCTTCGGCTCGGGTCATGATTCCAGGGTCCTGGGATCGAGCCCCGCATCGGGCTCCCTGCTCAGCAGAGAGCCTGCTTCTCTCTCTACCCCCTCCCTGCCGCTCTGCTTACTTGTGCTCTTTCTCTAGCTCTCTGTCAAATAAACAAATAAAATATTAAAAAAAAAAATAAATGGAGGAATTTCAGACTCCATGGGAGGGCAGTGAGCTGGGGGAGGAGATTTCTGGCAGGAAGGTATGTCTCAGGAGCTTAAATAATGTCATAAGATACCTTTAAAGATGCCTTGTCATGCTCATCCCTCTGTTATAGGGCCAAGACGCTCTGCTCATAGTGACATTCCCTATTTTGGAAAATAGTTATTGAGGTATGAAGCAAAAGTCAAGATGTGTCAGTAAGTGTTCTAATGCACATCCAAGTGATGGTGGTACCATAAGATATCTGCATTAATTCAAGAAGAGTTCGGACTACATGGGAATAGATGCCCAATTCCATTTATTTTAAGGGAAGCAGGCACATTCTATCGATTGGCACATCGTGTCTGTATTCAGATGATTAGTGATGTAGCAAACCTAGTATGTTCAAAACAATATCCTCACTCCCCGCCTTCCCCCCCAGGAACCTGCTCTTTCTCAGGTTCCCAGTTTGCTAAGTGGCAGCCGCAGCTGTCCCGATCTTGAGATCCAACCCCGTGGAGTCATCCTGGGATCCTGTCCTTTACTCATACCGGCCTCCAACCCATCAGCAAATCTTGTCAGCTCTATCCGGAAAAATGCATGCAGAATCCAAGTGCTCTGCCTTGAATCATCACAGTAGCCTCCAAACGGCTTCCCGCTTCTGCTCTGGCCTCCCCCACTGCCAGCCCTCTGTTCTCCACTTGGCAGCCGGAAGGAGCTTTCTGAAACATAAGTTAGACCATGTCTTTCTTCCGCTACCATTTCATTCTGAATATAACCCAGACCCTCACCATCACCTACAAGGCCCTCACCTGCTCTGGGCCCTGGCTGCTACTCTCCGCTCATTTCCTCCCATTTTCTGACTACCCCCATCGTCCTGTCTCCCTGCTTTACTCAAACCTTCCAAACAAGCTCCCATTTTGGGCCTTTGGAGGTAAAGTGCTTCCCTGCCTGGAACATTCCTTCTCATCCCTGTATTTGCTTTTGCCTAGTCCCACTTTTTTCCACGATTCTGCTCAGATGTCACTTTATCAGAGAGACCTTCTCCAACGACCAGAGATAAAATAGTGCCCATTCCTTTCCTGTCTGTCTCTTTACCCCCCTTCTTTCCTTCCATTAGCACTTGGCACTCCTGGAGATATTATATATTTCTTTTATATTTGCTCATCTGTATCTGCTTTGCTAGAATAGAAGCCTTACAAGAGTGGAGTTATTGGCTCTTTTGTTCACCGATCTCTCTCCAGCCCTTAAAATTAATGCTCAGCAAGTATTTGGTGAATGCACAAAATGGCCAAATTAATATTTTTTTCTGCTCATTCTTTTCTTTTTTATGGAGGTATAATCAACCTATAACATGGTATTAGTTTCAGGTGTACAAGGAACTTAGATCTTAAAAACTAGAACTACATCTATAAATATATATACATAATTATTTTTTAAAATATAAGTCTACTGTGGAAGGCTTTTAAAGAAATTCTTCCATTTTTGTTTGGATGATGTTTTGATATGTTTCAAGGACATTAAAGCATAGCTGAAAAAAAAACACAAAAAACCCAAAACCCTAAAATGGAAACATTCCCAGTGTTGTGTTTTGTTTTGTTTTCCCGATGAGAAAGGGAAGGAGTAGTATTCATGACTTTTTGGTTACTTTGAAATTTAGGGTCCCCTTTGAAATGTGTACTATGCTGGGTCCTGGTAAAGAGGTGCTGATTGACTCCACAGAAGGAAGAAACTTCTATGATCTTGATGGCTATTTGATGAAAACCTTTAGTGTCTTGAGTAAATCATATGCGTTGCTTTAAATACCATTCTAGAAATTGAAAAGAATTTTAAAACCATACTTGTTAGTGGTAAGATGAAGAAAAAAAGAAAATGTAAGTATTCAGAAATGCCATTTTTTGGGTCCAGATTTTGTTGATTTTTTTTAAGATCTAGATTAGGATTTTATATGATGGAATGCACTAAGTCCCAGAGAGAGGCCCTGTAATAGTGGGTTCTCTCCCTGCCGTGGAGGGTGTGTGTGTGTGTCCATGTTGCATTGCAGAGGATACAGCGCCGGGCCACAGGGCAAGAGTGTGGACTTTACCCTTGCTCTCGC